TCGTCTATTAACCGAGACGACTCCATGGAACGACGTTCAACATCGGTTACCTCTGCAGACATAAAACCGTCGACTCTCGAAAGGGGCGCTGACCATTCTGCCATCAGCGTCCCCGGTTCTTCAGCCGCTACTCGGTACGAGTCCGACAAAGATGAAAAGGATATGGATGCAATGCGACATATGGAGATTCCTTCGGCGGCTACAAGCACGACGATGTTTCCTATTATTCATGGTCGGCCAGACACGGCGGCCGAGATCAGAGCCGCAGTAGAGTCTCTAGACAAAGATCAACGAGTTCTAATCGCTGCTTGTGGACCTAGCAGCTTGACTAAGATAGTCCGCGACATTGGAGCTAGCTATATCAGAGTTGATGGACCTGCAGTTGAGGTTCACTGCGAGCAATTTGGTTGGTGATTTGCGATCTGTTTGCAAGTATCACGAGTTAGGGATTTTCCTTTTTTATTACGTACCTATCTATGGGATACCTATGATGATCTATTGTCATCTATGCGTTTTTTTATGTAGACGGCGCTATTGGATATATCACCTTACACCAGCTATCAGCTAGGAACTAAGGAGGCGTTTTTGGAATTCGTACTACGATTATCGATCTACATAGACATAGGCACGTCATGTGTCTCTTATCACGGTTACAAATATTCTAAATTTACTCCAATATGTTCTCTATATCTACGGGACACTTGCCACTGCAGTCTAGCAACTTAGCACCATGAACAGGAAGTCCGACATGTTTCGAAGGCCCGATGCAGTCGTGAATCCAGCCGTGATCATCGCCGGGGATGGGCTTTTCCCATCCCACAATCTGTGGAGCACACATTAGCACGTCAGCGATCTGCAACTGAGTATCCATCGCTGCGCATTTTTTACATGCCTCATTGGTAAAGTCTCTTACGACCCCGGCGCAACTTTTAAACCACCAGTCGGGCCGCTCCCCATTACCAATGGATTACACAGCTCACGTCTGATTAGGAAACTAGACACTTGATCCCGGTCTTTTGATAACAAGAGCCGTGGATGTTGTTGCAGTATCAGATTGCGTTGTATCAATCGGTGATCATTCTTCAAGGGTACCTTGGCTACTTGCCCGCCAAGTCTACTATGGCTACCTTACCTACCTACCTAACCTAGTCGGCGAGCCGCAGGGTAGGTTCGTTGCACCTATACAAGCATAAACATTATATTATCGCTTCGTCCAATCAGGGCTGCAAACGGCTGTGTTCGGGACGTATGCATATAAATGTGAAGGCCTACCATAGGTAGGTAATGACGAGCATGAGCGTGGGGGACGTTCGCTTGTCAGTGGCTGGCCGGCCGGCTGCATGGTACAGCACGGGCAGACAAGACAAGACAAGACGAGACAGTCCCAATACCGGTACTTGCCTGGTCCCATGCACGTTCTGCCCTGCACGCCGTGTCGGCGTTAAATAAGGGTATACCTATCCTTCTTACGGCGAGCCCAGCGATTCACGGCCGTTTTTGGTAACAGCCCTCGACGCCCATGACGAGGCCTGACTCTTCCCGGCATCTCGGTAACAAACCAAATAGTGCGATCTTGCGCCCTTACGCCGGCACACGTAACGCGGCCAAATAAAGAGGATTGCGAAAATTTTTCCTCGTCGATGGATAAGTCTGTTTATTCTAGGTATTCTGCCCTTCTGTCATACCCAATCCGGGCTTGGCCCCGACCTGTCATTGACTCACCGGCGAATCCTCTGCGTTAGGCGGCTGACAGGATCGCCATCCCAGCGCGGGCCTATCCGGATTTGTAGCAGGAACCGGAGCGTGCGTGTGCAAATACCGTTGGAAAAGAGGGTGTTCCCAGGGGCTGACTAGGTACCTAGTCCGCACAGCACACATATCACTAGATATGTTGATGACGCGGGTGTGCTTACATGAGAATCTTATATCCCCACGACGGCCGCAACGCACCTATCGGCACGGGCCCGTCCAGCCTCGCTGAGCCTATGTAGATTGCGCGGACGGCGTGTGACGAGGGATTCGCCTGCAGCAACAGTCTGGGGATCGGGCCCCGGGGCCTGTGCGCCCCGAAGTTCTACGGCTTACGATGGGGTTTCCAGCAAGCTCAAGGTGCCGTTGGAAGACATGGCGGCGTCGAAGCCGTGGTTTTGTTTCTCCGGGTGTCTCGGCACTCTGAGATGTTGTCAAGCCCCTCGACGGCTGTATATCACAACTTCGTATTTTCGGGTTCTTCTAGATTAGTGTGCGTGGTGGAATATTCCTTACTTTTCATATAACTAGGCCCAATCCCGTAGACTATTCCAAATCTTATGGCTCCGTTTTGACCCCTCTCTTTGGAGGCCTCACTCCCAAAGTGCACTTACGTACTTCCGCGCGCAGATTTTGATGACGACGACACGATTCGATCCACATCGCAAGTGTGTTATACCGTTGGAACACCTTACCTAATGCGTTCGATAACACCTAGTCAGCGGAGCTCTACCGCCAGATGCGCCTGTATCCCACAGGGCGGGACCAGGATGAACACCATCGTAGACGCTCCGAAATCACTCATCCCCAGTTAGTCGCGGCGCCGTGATTCGTCCCGGGGCCCATGAGGTTTGATCTCTTGGCAAGCCACGTTCGATTCCATGATCTGACAAACCCCGACGCTTATCTCAACTAAGGTAAGTAGGACTTCCATACATACAATCTGGCTGGCATGGCTTGTACGACAATTACGCACCGGGCTCGTCAGAGGGCCGCGTCAGACCCCTTCCATGTGGATGCCGGGCCAAGAACGCTGGTATTTCGCCATTGGAATAATCCATGCGGTGTGGGTATGTGAATGAGCAGAGATGGATATCGAGGCTGTGGTGGATGATGTGTCACTTGGTTGGCGGAAATAAATAAATGGCATTTACTCCCATATCCGACACGCCCGTGCCGATTCGGGAGATCGTCGGTTTTGAACCCGATGCTGAATAGAGTCGCGACAGCTTCGTATCAAGCAATGCTCTTCATTGTTAGATAAACTCCTAAAAAACTTTAAACCTTGTGAGTATAGTGATTTATTATAGTTTTCGCAGATCAGAATTTGTACCAGCAGTTCGAGAAATTAGGTTCTCATATATTCACAACTGGGAGTATCGCGATGATGCTCATCTCTCCCTTTTTAGTCTTTTATTCTTATGGATTTGATACTAATGTTATATAATTCAAGTAGAGCTGTGAGGGTTGCAGTTTACCCCTGTGCGCGTCCCAGAGTGTTCGTGCTTTTAGGAATTAAGGGGCTATAGGGATTAGTTCTTTAGACTATAAGTAGGTAGTAGACAAGATAATCTACTTATCAAGCGATCCTGGAATATATAATAATACTTACACAAAATAACATATATATTTCTCAAGTATATTCCTATGAAGAACGGAACCTGACTTTGTAGAATTGATATTTAATTCCTTATTGTAACTTTCTTTAGTTTTGTAAGTCAACGTATCGTTATGAAATGCTTTTTAGGTCCCTATTATTAAAAATAGCATTGAGTAATAGATAATACCTGATAAGTCTTGGTTTCTAAAGCTCTTAGTAATTCTTTTACTGCATCAATTATATGCTTGATATGAAGTTAAGCTTAAAGTGGCTGGCTCGCCACTATAGAACGCATCATAGACAAAAGATAATGGTGTCCAGTATAGTGTGTCTATAGGTTGCTTACCCCTCTTCTTAATTCGGGAAGACACAGGAATGATACATGCCATGCGGACTTTTGTCTAAGACTTACATCAAGAAGGTTTCATGTATAAAGGTGGTGGTGATTCAAGCGGGCCGCGGGGCTTCATCCGCACGCATGTCTTAGATGAGCGTCTAAACTTCTGCACCAACGATATTTTATCACCAAGATTATTGAAGCGGGATAATCGCCACTATTTTATGTGACGATATAGGTGATGGCTGCATTGCAGTTTCTAATATCCATCTTGTATAACTTTATCGGATATGCAGCGACTTGAGACAGAAGTGGTGGCTATCATGGTAGTCATTGACCTTTTCTTTTTCTTTTCCCCTGGGCCTCCCAGAAGATCAACCGTTCCCCTTCTATGTAGCTGAATTTAAAATTTGACTAGTATTACTACTATGTTCTATATTCCCTAGAAATAACTTCAATGACAGTGATAATTGGGATTTAGATACTGTAACTCTTTACATCAATTTGCCTATAAGTTATAATATTATTACTTGATGACGCCGGAACTGCTTTGAGATGAAAGTTTATAGTCAATATAAATATATATCGGTGCTAACTAATAGTCTTAATTCAAGGCAAGTGGTACGGGCCTTCTTATTTGAGGGCTGGCTCCCAACAAGGTAGCGGACCTTTAACTCCGTTGTAAAGCCTGCTCCAAGTATTCACTGACCAGGTTCTAGGATGGTAGAGGAGGAAAGATACTTGGTAGTGATAGAATGACGTAGTATAGAGAACCTAGCGTATTATAGCTCTACTACTCGCTTTACATTACATGCTCTAATGAGATTGACATGTGTACACAACGTACTCTAGAGCACGAGGGATACATACCAAACCACTCATAGTCTCTAATCACAACTTACCTCAAGTAATAGAGACAATATCCATTAGTAACGCGCAAGGGGATGCTAACACTAGGCTCGACTAAGCATTACTGAAAATAGAAGCGCTTTGATGTATGGCAACGACCTCGGCATTAGCAAGAAATAGTTTAGGTACCTAAGTATAAGCAAAACCCAATTTAGTGAGGGGTATATTAGTTATCCTCAAGTGAAGCTAAAAGGGCCTATATGATACGATGTTGCAAGAGTGCTGCTACCTGACTTGGAAAATACAATGTGTTGGACGGCTTCTAGGCAAAGACTATATGATAGAAACTCTACAATCATTAAGAGGTTTTTAGACACAGCCGACATACGCCTCGATCTAATCCTTGAAGCAAGGGGGACGATGGGCTGGACAAGAATTTAAAGTAAAGAATAAAGCAAGATAGTGGGAGTATGGACTCAAATATATTCTCACTCTTCATAAATCTCTGAGCCTGGACGGGTCTCTAATTATTGGCTCTATTGTAATAAATTGGCAAACGATCCCTAGGGAGTCTAATTCTCCTTACTCGCCGATAGCCTATTCTAAATGCTCTTCAAACAACCTTCACCAAGATCTAAACAGCTTTAATATAAGTAGTATGGAGGTATTCATATCTTATCATACTCTTCTGTCGATTCGACTATCCTCCTTTCTTCCATTGTGACTCTTAAATGCCGGCCCTTGGAGCACAAGGCAACCTTCATTATTTGATCTAGGATCCAATGTATGAAGGCAATTATTGGCCGAACTAACAATGTCGAGTAATCGCATATTGTAGTAGATTGGAAGGTTAGACTCGAAGAACGCGAGCTCGTCAGCTGGCAAGAGGTTAACGCCCCGCTCTAGAGGCAAAGCGTTTCCTTGCAGTGACGTGGTACTACAAGTTCCAAGCCAGATTCCATGGATAGCGACAGGGACATGTTCGAATTATTCGAGGTGCAATACCTAGAAAAGATAGATCTATTCGTTCACCGAGGAAGAGACTTTCCGGCATTGTATTTCCCTTTTTTGCCATTCCTAGCCACGAAGGGAGTAATCTTGTTTTGAAACAGCCTATTACACTATAATCAGAACTTATTGACCAAGGCTTTGGATGTGGAAAGTAGCAAAATCGGGTATTTAGTACCTTGTAAACCGAGAAATTCGAAAGCCAGGAATCGATGGGAGTAGAGACATGCCACCTTCGCTGTTTCGTAGTTTCATGTAGAACTTCAGCCCAAAGTAGGTGATGAAGGTCAAAGCAGCGGAGATCGAAATGTAGAGCCAGATATAGCCAGAGACTACCGGCGACATCGTTGCGTCGCTAGGGCCTCCTGAGTCAGACGTATTACCACTATCTACTGGTCGATACCGTAAGTCTCTCCAGTCGTTAGACCATTGAAAAATGGGCATAGCGAATATGGTCTATTATATTTGTCAGAAGCTGTATAGTAGGATTCATTTCTAAGAACCTACCGCCGTTGTCGACAGGGGAAGATAGATCATAGCCACGAAAGCGATACCAGTAGCAAATTTTGAATTCTCGGTGCTGGTCTGGGCTTCTTGCCTTGATAATTCACTCCTCATCTATAAACTTATAAGTAAAGGGGCTACAACATACACGACTCTTGCTGGGGTATTGAGATGACAACTTACTATATCTGTAGCGAACGAAATGTCCTCAACAAGGATTCGACATTTAGAACTTTGGCCATTGAGCATCATAATTATATCGTTAAATCGCTCCGAAATTATCTCCGTCATTCTCGTCGAAGGTTCATCTTTGAGAGTCTTCAGCATCTGCAAATCCGAAAGAGCCTTGGATAACTGGAGTTTCGTGGCCTCGACTTCTTCCTCAGCCTTCCGGATGGCTTCTCGGGTCGACCTAACCTTATGGATAGTTTCCCAGCTGAAACGATCCTTTACTTCCTTAGCTTCTTGAAAAGCCTTCTCTCCCATGAGAGTATCATATTGCCAGTGCCTTTTACTAATCATGGTACAAAGACGATCGTACTGCAACTCAACGTAGATGCTCAACATGAGAAGGGGATGTCCTATTGCATCCTGATGAATGTTTACGAGCCCTTGTATCCTTCTGATTTGCTCATCCGAACAGCAGAACATAACAGCCAGTGTCAGGCTCTGCTTCTCGAAATGAGTTGCAGCCATAGCAAAGGACTCTTCATCAGAATCCGGATTTACGACCGCAGTGTGCATCCAAATTTTCTCTGGGCCCTCTGGAAACTTGTACGTGCGAGCTACGGAGGTTAATGACGTCTGTTTTCTTACCGCGAGCATTGGAAAATGGGCGGGCAGGTGAAATGCTTTAACTACTTTCTGCCAACTTTCCGAAGAATCCTTGTCCAAAGGAATATCTGTGTATGCCGAAAGGACAGCACTATCTGTGAGTTTTATATCTTCCGCTCGGGGAATACAGCTGCATTATCTCAATATGTGTAAGTCCCTATCAGATAGCGTTCTTCGAAGGCATGGGAAATAAGAACCTACAGTATTACAAAACCATTTTTAGGTAACTTGTCTACGATGAAGTCGTCCCGAATGAAGTCCAAAGTCTAGTCAATCAAAGATGAGCCAAAAAGCAAATGAAGTATAGAAAATAGAGCCGATTTGAATGCTAGAATTGGTATAGTTGTACCTGTATCCAATTTTCCCAGCTTTGATGGTCCGGTAAATCAATTATCTCAGCATCTTGAACCTATTCCAAAGATTAGAACTTTTTTACTTGTAACTAGTCTTTATTACTAGTTCACCCACCGCATCCAATCCCCAGTTCTGGATAACTCTGCATTGTTGACCCTTGGTACGAACTTCCAATTCGTAGTCGAATGAGTCGAGATGATTAGGAGCTATAAATGGATCGGAATCAGGAAACCACTCCATATTGGCATAGCTATGCCTCGAGGGCTACAGTTCAATGCAAACGCAAGCAATGTCATCCTGAGACTCAGGGGTATGTAACTACTTATATTGGGCGCGCCCCATAATTAGGTTGATATTTTCCAATGTCCAACTGCATGAGCTGAGGTTCGTGGCGCGGGCATCTTGCATGAGCATCTCGAAGTCTCATTGGCCCAGATCATTTAAAGAAGCAGGCTGCAGGTTGTACGAGACCTCGGCGGTTATGTGGACATGAGTTTCGTGCCACCTCTATTTTACATCTATGAGAGATATACAATGTATGAAGGTAATAAAGCCAATAAGGAATTCCAAGTTAAACAGAAATTCTAACTTAACTAGAATTTAAAGGCACTTGGTATTGAATATTGGTATGAATAAATCCCTGACCCCTGTAAGGCCCTTGCATATAAAGGGGAGACGTTAAAACGTAGAGTCGACGTTTGAATATCCTCGTAGACGCAATCAAATATTCACCATCAAAACGCCGAAGCAGCTTACTTTTAACAGATTTTGAAGCTACCTACCTGATAAAGGAGTAGGTAGATGAGGTGAAGGTATTGTAAAGTTCCTTGCGAGATTGTGATCGCGCACTGAAGGCGCCACCACAAGCAAGAACATTAATTCGAGGATCAAATATACGTATATTTCAATTGGCATATATCATGTAAACTTATTTACTCATTCAAAGCTGTGTTCAGCGTTTCCTAGTCTTGCTTAGTCAAAATAGCCTCTGTCAATATTTGGACAAGTATTAAACATTGGGTGTAAAGAATCAAAATGAATAACAGAATGGAATAAAATTTTGTCGATAATGAGAGTAAAAATGTTATGTTAAAAATCAAAAAGTAAACCCAACTCCCCCGGAAAGGCTCGAACTTTCAACCTCCTGATTAACAGTCAGACGCGCTAGCCAATTGCGCCACGGAGGATGGACTTTGGGAAACCCGCTGATTGGCTCAGCGAGTCCGCATGATTAGGGATGAATCCCAGATCTTGCTTGTGACAAACCAGCTTGTAATTTTGACTTATAAAGGTCAGTGCGCTGTCTATGTGGGGTGCCCGAATAATACCCGGGTATTTTTTTAGATGCATTTCTCTCCTTTAATGAAAAGATACTCTTACAATAGATAGGGTGACAAAAGCGATTATATTATTTGGAAATGTGTAAATTCATGTCCTCATCGAAAACAGACAACGTAGGTACCTGTTATAAAAGTTACCCAATCCCACGTTTTCATCTCCATGAGCCTTGATGTCTAAACTAAGAGCGCAAGGCAATAATTACGTTAACCATCCATAAAACACCACTCTCTTATGTCAAAAGCCAAAGTCAACTTATTATAGAGAAAAAATGAACCGTCCGTTTTATTTAATCTAGACTCTTAAAACATCATTACTACAATATGGCTATATCATAGATATATAAGCATCCTTGAAATCCACTGTCCTAGATGATAATAGCCATCTCTCTATTTGGCGCGATCCGAGAGGGTATGTATCTGTAAAGTGAAGATTCTTGACGTAACTAGGAATACCGTCTAATTCCCATTCTCAATTCCCTCAGATGTATAGATGCATGTGTACATAAACACACTATTAAAATCCGAGCCAGCTTCTCAATCCCAAATTAAAAAGATCTTGCTTCCCCCCCCCGCCATCTAATACCCCCAGCGTTACCGCTACTCTTCCCGTAAGCGATTAAAGAAAGCAATCGATTTCTCCTGATGCTTTGAACTGTTGTAACGCTTATCTTTCGACTTGTGGAAGTGAACTGCGACTACAAAAGTGAACCGTGGGAGCTGTTCCAATATCTTCTTGTAGGACGGCTTATCTTCTCGTCCGCAACCGAACTTCCACGGGATGAAGGTATCTCGGAGGGCGTTGTTCTCCTTGAGCCACATGGTCCGCACGCACTGGAGGAAACAAGTGATGTAGTGATTCATGTACCCATTCGAAATCTGCTCATATACTTGTAGTACATCCCAATTCCGAGTCGATCCCTTCCTCATAGGTGCCATGTCACAGACAGCAGACAGCGCCTTGACTTGTCTAGCGTCGTTGATGTCGACGAAGGCAGGGGTCTCCTCGGCGAAATGTCCGAAGAGGCCTGAAGCACAAGCATCTTGGTAATTCAAGTGGACTGAGGTACTGGTTAGAAGCACAGTGCACTCCCCTCGCTCAATGACGCGTTGAAGTGCCCACCGAGCAAAATCACTGCCTTTGGGGTGTATGGGGTCGAACCCGAGGAATATGCTTCTGCTGACACTCAATGGGATGTCGCTATACTCGACAAGTTCCTGCAATCCCGGCTCGACGTCCTCGCCATCGTCGTCTTCACGACGCCCGAATTTACGATAGCTGTCCTCGTCGATATGTATCGTATCAGTGCTCCGGTTAAACCACACAGGCGTATTCCAGAATGCCGTTTTCTCCACACGTCCATGCATCTGGGCAAAGGCACGCGACTCTCGGCAGACCTGGGCGATCAGCGGAGGTTTGGCGGACATGGCTGGTGCTGTACGTATCCGTTTCTGAAAGCGGCTTGACTGAAACCTTTGATGGGCCGAGTCGTGCATTTGGACAACGCGGCACGGTAAGCAGTAGGTCCATATCATCCAACGAATTTCAGGTGGTAGACGCCGGAATTGCGGGAAGGTCTGTATTGCTCCAATGGAGTCCTCCATGATTGATTTCAGTCCGCTCGGAAACTGCCTTTGACGATGGAAGGATATTAGGTATGTACCCTTGAAACAAGATTCGAGGGTTTGATTATTGCAGGGTTTCAATTGAGGGACCCTTGTCTTGAAGATCTGAAATAAGTTATGGCCTTGCTCATGACCAACAGCTGCCCACGCCTATAGCAATTGCCAGTCGCCAGGACAACTGGCGATTCCCGAACAAACTGCCGCTAAAGTGGGCATTGCTGACTCCCTAAGAGATATATCAGTGACTCAGGTGTTTTCTTGTTGATATGATAAAATTTCAATGAGGTAGTAAACATTCCTATCAAAAGATGAAGAGATACTGAGTCATTTACTACCTAGGTTTTCTACACTGTCACTTTTTACAATCTAACGAGCTTTGCTTTAGCTCTATCCTTTTACGCGTTGAACTTATAAAACGTAGGTTAGCATGAAAACTACAATGACAAGACGAGCGTATGGCATATTTAATACCTTCTGTTCTCGTCGGGATATCGACATCGCTTCCAACATATATAGGTACATCTCTGCGTCTATCCAATGCTAATCCGTATTTAAAAACCTACAAGCCACCGGTTGGTGCCATTACCAACCATGAAGCGTAAGCGTAACTAGTGTTTCGTATAGGATAGCCCTCGCTAGTCTGTTACTACCTGTACGTAACTCGCCGGTACGCTCTTAGTCGCGCCCCCTTTTTCTACTTCGGCCCAACCATCCCCTGGGTCTTCCTTGATCAGCACAAATCTTTCGCCCTCCGTCATACTATGCTCGGCTTCGCTCTGCGCTGCGTAGTCGTACAGCGCGACAACGTACTTCAACTTCTTAGCACCCCGGCGCGGTGCGACTGCTGGTCCTTTCTTCTTGATACCTGGGCCAGTCGTGTTTATGGATGACCCCGAGTTTGAATAAACGGATGCAGGTCGGTTGTTTATTGAAGAAGAGCCCGTATCTTGGGGGATGATCGGCTCGGGGAAGATTTCTAGGTAGGTGGCGGGTACTAAACCTTCCTTGTAACCAGCACGGACTTTAACCCATCCTGATCCATCTGCGACAGTGTGAGCAAAGGTAAAATACAAGTCAAGGATGAAACTCACCATCAGGCTCAAGGATAATAACCTCCCGCCCCTCAGGAACGGAGAGTTCGGTATCCCCATTGGCATCGAAGCCGTACAGCATCTTACCCTTCTGTTCACCAGTCTTCTTTGAGACGGGGCTACTAACTAGGCTACCAGGTAGCTCACTGATATATGCGGCAGGAGGCGGAGCGACAAGACGACTCTTTTTAACGGCGGGTCGAGGGCCTGAAGGTTCGGGGGGTGCTTGTGGTTCTTCAGCAGGGGCACGCGGGCTTACCGTCGAGCCGCTTATCGATCGATTAGCACTTGCGGCGTATCCAGAGCTTAAAGAGTTCAAAGTATTGGATCGACTCAAATCTGGGAGTTCTGCAACGTGGTCTGGTGGACCGGAAGGAGGTTTTAGTAGAGCTCCTGCTGCTGACTGTCGTTCCGACTTATACTTCTTGCGTTCTTCTTTGGATAGCTCTCCAGGGCATTCGGCAGGCACTTTCATTTCACATTTACTGTGACATGTATATCCGCAATCCCTGCAATCAAAGCCCTTAGCGGATAGCCCCCATATTCGTTCACCGCACAAGTCGCAATTCGTTGGTATCTTAAACGTTTGCGACTTGAAATTGTGGTTTTTGGCGCCCAGGGTGACATCCCCAACTGCCGATGTGATGGTTGATGTTTCAACTTCGGCCGTCAACCTTTTCCGGTCTACTTGATGCAAGTCCTCCTGCATGGAAAAAATCTGCGATACAACAAGCACCTCGTCCTTGTTTTCCGTTCCCTCCCGTATCCTTTGCTTAATACGCTTTACACCATCGATTTCTCTTCTCTTTTTATCAACTTCTCGTCGGAGATCCCCTAGCTGACCTTTGGATTTGTTTAGTACGTTGCGCAAAAATACCTTGGCCGGTTCGTCGGTGACCATGAGGTCGTCATCGTGCCATACCGGGCTGGGCTCGAACACCTTATCAGATGGTTCTTGCCACGGACCCATGTTATGCTGGATATACATCATAGAATCTAAGTGCGGTTGGTTCCTAGATATTTCCTGAGCGACGTTGTCGACAAGGCTAGTGCTCTGCCGGAGCATTGCCGTCTCTAGATTGGCAGCCGTAGTCCATAGCGTATTTAATTTCATGGTACGGAATTCGGATAGGTCTTGTAAGCTGTCCAGCAGTTCAGGGATATATTCGTGATAATACTTTTCCTTCTGCTTATTGGTCACGTTGATAGCTATCAAATACGTGTTCTTGACGTTGCTCATGTCATACAGCTGCTGCTGATAATGGCTTTGTGCCTTTGCCTTGTCAAAGGCGGACTCGGTCTTCTTTCGCTTGCTCTCCACCTCCTGGCATGCCGCATCATACTTTGTTTTAGTCTTGCGCAGGTCGGCATACGAGGACTCTCTTTCGGCTTCGAGTTTCGTGGCATATTCGACGTGACGCTTACGTAGCTCTTCGAACCTGCCTGCATAATATTTCAGGGGATCGGCGACCTTTTGGATAAGTTCATTTGCGTATTTCTCGTGCTCGTCGGCTAGTGATTCGAGGGTTGTAAGATGGGTTGTCCATATAGTTAGGGATGCATTCTCGAGGGAGCCCGGAGTCATAGCAGGCGTGTCGCCAACACTCAAACTAGCCGACTTTTTATTTTTCTTTTCAAAGTACTTCTTAGCTAATGCATTGAGCTTTGCGCTGTGTTCCTTCTCAATCACACTTCGTTCTCGGTAGAAATTCTGTATGTCGTCTAGCCACGCGATACCGTTGGCTACCCAAGCATTAGCGGGTTTGAAGCCATCCTACAAATCGCGGTTGTTAAAATTTAGCAACGCCCACGGGGAAAATGGATAGAAAGAAGATGGGAGAGCTGTGGTGAGTAGTAGTTAACGCACCTTCAACTCGGTACCAAAGGTTGGTACCGCTTCCACCTCAGCCATTACGGATTAGAGATGCCTTTAGGCATGCAGGCGCAAAAGCGACAGGTCCGCGATAAATATTTGATATGTAGGCTGAATCAGTTTTGTAGGTCTCATCTAACAGAGCCATAGCATGAGTACGGGTTTTATTTAAATAGGTACGGAACTGAGGCCTCGGTTTTGTCGTAGTGTCGTAGTCCGGGGGGCTGAAGAATGACGAAAAGGGTCGAGCGCTGCAGGGCGAGTTATTAGCATCTGTTATTCTGTATTGGCTCTGTATTGGCACAGCCCACTTTACTAACCTTTTTTCTAACCACCCAACCTAAGAGTTGATGCCCGGCTGTTCGGTACAGCGCTTTCCTTTATTATTAGTACATGCGTAACCCCGCCTTGTAGAGGAGAAGTATACGAAAGTAGACCTATACACAATTAATCATACGAGTAACATCTATGAATGCATTAGGTACTTGTACCGACTTAGTGATACAACTCTAAATTATTGATATCTGATCGATTGCACCTGCAACGTCCGAGGACTCAGCTGGCGGTTGCCTTTCAGGGGTCCCCTCTTCTATAACCCCACTACATAAGTACCTAACTGTACCTAATGTACTAAGTAGCGACAAGCTGCCCCACCAAGTGACAGCTTCAATGGAAATGGAAATGGAAATGGAAAAAGCTCCATTCCAATTCAGATCTTAAGTTAGAGACATCATTGATTACCATCATCAGATGTTCTACAGACTACATGCCACAATCTACATAACCTCGCCGCCGTTTTCCTCCCATTTTCCTTTACGATACAAGGATACAGAGTGGATATCTAAATATTAACCTTGGGATTCTTAAATATTTCCAAGGCATCGCCTTTGTCGTCCTTGCATAATCGCCCCTCCATCCTTTCTTGCCTGGAGATTAACGTCGACGCAACCGGGCGAACAAATATCGTGACTCTAAAATTTATCTCGACATCACCCCAGCGAATTCACCGTGACTACGCGCAACATACTCCAGTTAGTCTTTTAGCCATCCGATAACCAAACACATCGATACCTCGCCTCGCGCATCGCGTACCATAACCTTTGCCATGGCCGATCTAGCTAGTCGCATTAGCCAGCCTGCTCCGGCTCAAGGGCAGGCCCAGCCGAATGACGATTCTAGGCTCCAGGAAAGCAGTTACGATGTCGAGGTCCAGCTCAGCGACCTTCAGAAGGACACGGAAAATCCTCTAGGATCTGCTCACACATTTGAGGAGCTTGGTTTGTGAGTGTTACGTTGAAGTTGAAGTAGAAAATAATATAATAATAAGTGCTAACCTACCTAATCTATTTTCTAGGCCGGCAGAAGTTCTTAAAGGCCTCTCGGCGTTGCGCTTCCAGAAACCATCCAAGGTTCAAGAGAAAGCGCTGCCACTAATGCTTGCCGATCCTCCTCAGAATATGATTGCTCAGTCTCAATCTGGGACCGGCAAGACGGCGGCCTTTGTTACCACGGTCCTGTCCCGTGTCGATCACACTAAGCCATCTCAGCCTCAAGCTCTGCTCCTTGCCCCCAGCCGTGAGCTAGCTCGCCAGATTCAGATGGTTATTGGCCATATCGGACAATTCCTACCCAACCTAGCTATAGCAGCCGCTATTCCCGGCGCCATACCTCGCGACGGACGTGTCGATAAGAGTATCGTTGTCGGTACACCAGGAACCGTCATGGATCTGATTCGAAGACGTCAGTTTGATGTGTCCCAATTACGACTCCTTGTGATTGACGAGGCCGACAACATGCTGGACCAGCAAGGTTTAGGCGACCAATGTACCCGAGTCAAGAAGTATGGCCTCTATTATTTAGAAACTTCAACCCACCAATATGACGCTAACAATCTCTTGCAGCATGCTACCTAAGAGCATCCAGATTCTCCTTTTTTCTGCTACCTTCCCCGATAAGGTTATGAAATATGCCACAGCCTTCGCACCTAACGCAAACATGATAAAGTTGAAGGTGCAGGAACTCACAGTGAAGGGGATCTCACAGATGTACATGGACTGTCCCTCGGAATCGGATAAGTACGAAATTCTCTGCAAACTGTACGGTTTGATGAACATCGGTTCCTCTATTATTTTTGTCAAGGTAAACATCTAGCAACTTAGTAGTTAGTATGCGTGCTGTCTGCTAACGGAATTAGACGCGAGATAGCGCCACCCAAATCCAGCAAAGAATGGCAGGCGACGGTCACAAGGTATCAGTCCTACATGGTGCCTACGAAGGGAGCGAACGAGACGCGCTGTTGGAAGAGTTCCGAACTGGAAAGTCTAAAGTCCTCATCACCACTAACGTCCTTGCTCGTGGAATAGACGTGTCCACGGTATCTATGGTCATCAATTACGATATCCCGATGAAGGGAGTAGGAGATAGCATGCACGACACGGAGACCTACCTCCACCGTATTGGTCGAACCGGCCGTTTTGGCCGTGTCGGTGTCAGTATTACTTTCATCTCGGATAAGAAGAGCTTTGATGCTCTCAATGCTATCGCGCAAGATCTAGAGATTGACTTGGTCGCGTTGAAACCTGACGACTGGGATGAGACAGAGGAACAAGTCCAGCGAGTCATCAAGTCGAGCCGAGCTCAAGCAGATTTTGTTCCAAGCGGAGGAGCTGCGTGAGAGGGGCCAGGATTGATCGAAATCGGCCTACCAAGTATTGGGCGAATCAGTTTCGCGTGTTGAATCATGTATGCGACTATTTCGATATCAAAACTACGAGGAACGAACTACGTGGGCATTCCACCGAGCCGTTGGGGCGCTGACACCGCTTTTCTTTTCTCTTGAGGCGCTCAATAAATAATAGTCCTACGCAAGAGGATTGTAGTTAATGAGAGACGACTAGATACCTATTCACAGAAAAAAAGTCATTTGATTTCCCACGATAGAATTCTGCTGGAAGAATCCTTTTTCCATGTAACCTTCCTATTCGTTCGGCTTCGCCTTGATCGGCGTGCTGTTTCGAAACACGTCTATGGGAGAACCATAGTATCAACGAAACAAAGGAGGATGCAGTCTCCATCTAAATATTCTCAAGCTTCTCTCCACGCGACGCACGTGGCTCAAAATCGAGAACGAACATGAACGGGTTTCTAAATAGATTGATTCGGAACCGCCAAGAAAAAAGAAACTTGTTGATATCCTAGTCATGACCACGAGGACTTTGCCTATCTGATCAGCCATGTTTATATTATTAGTATCTTGAAATTTGGAAGGCTTCTAGAATACCTATCTAGGTAGGTAGGCAAAGAGCTGAGTAGTAGACTGCTACAAGGTATCGACAATAAATAGAGCATTTGAAATTTATAGAGGTTAGTTATAAGCTGCCTAAGCATCTAAAGCAGATATTTACTCGCTCTATCTTCACTAAGAGTCGATGTCGAACATATTCAAAAGGGCCGGGGAAGCCGATTCCATACAGCTTGCGACGAGATTCCATATTTCCATTGCTGACGTTTTCTTAGTGATGAATTGTGGCACGAGTTGTCGTGTTGTAAATCGCATACTCGATAAAGCAGGAGACGACAATACCTACATAGTAGTAGTATTTCTGAAACCAGCTAGGATATCCTTTTAGTCACAAGTTGAAGAGCTTTAATTGTTTTAAGGTTGGACGGCAGAGGCACAGCGAGGCCTGATTGGACGATCGTCATTGGAACCCCTGGTAGGAATCGAGGTACATAGGTAAGTACCTGCTTCTTAGAGGCACGAACTGCTCAGATGGTGACGTTGCACGCAGATTGCTACCTAGGTACCTACCCGGGTGGGGGGGGTCCTAGGATAGACTGATATTAATCTGTTAACATTATAAAAAAGGGTTAAAATAATTTATTTAAATAATAAAGACTTATACGTTTTGTATTAAATATTATTTAACTTAAAGATTTTTATTATTTTAATAAAGATATTTTTAAAGTTTTAAATTTAATTTAAATATAATAATAAAAATAATAGTTTAATAAAGTTAAGTTAATATTATTTTTTTATTAATATTGTATTTTTAATAATGTGTTAGCTGCACAATTTTAGGGTTATACGAATAAAGTGTATATGGTATATAATTATATTATGTTTATAATAAAAACATTAACGTTATTAATGTTTTAATATATTATTAATATTTTATTATAATAATAATAATATTATTAATATATTTATTTAATAGGTTTTATGCATTAAAGGATATATATATATATATTAAAAATTAAAAAAAGGTTATTTTAAATATTTTTTATTTTAAGGTTTTTAAAATTGTTTTTTTATTTTTTTTTTATTAAGTTACGATAAGATTTAAATAATTATAAGTTATGTTATAAATTATATAAATTATATAAATTTACGGGTTATTTAATTAAGTTATAAGGTATTATATTATATTATATTATATTATATTACGTATACGTGTAAAAAGGTAATTTATTATTTTATATAAAATATATTAAAGCATTTATTTTTTTTAAGTTAATTAAAGTGTTTTAAGTTTTTAAAAGTTATTATAATGATTATATTAAATTAAAATTAACGTGGTAAAACAAGTGTAATAACCGTATTAATAAACTTTATTATATTAGTAAAAATTACTTAATATTAATAGTAATAACATTTTATTTTTAATAATTTTTTTTATTTTTATAAACATTATTTTTTTTATTAAAATCTTTTTTTTATTTTAATTTTAAAGCTATAATAGTATTTATTAAAATAGTATAAAGTTAATAATATTAAAGTTATTTTAATTAATATATTATTTTTATAAAAAGGGCTTGTGTTAAAATGTATGGTTAATGCGTGTGTATATTTTTACAGAAAAGATCGGAAGTAACGTTAACATTTTTTCATATAATTATAATATAATTTTGTTAATAGGCTTTTCCTAAATTAACATTATAGTATATTTTAACATTTTAAAGTTATATTGTCTTAAGACCCCCCCCCACCCGGGTAGGTAATTGCTATATGCAAAGAGATACGGATGAATGCATATATGTGCATATTGAGGCGTTTACATATTCATCAATGGAATGGCGGCGGCTGTGGGCTGGCTTAGCCTTGGTGATGTGTAGGTGCATAGGTAGGTACATATCTCACTACTTGAATATCACATACAATATATTGGCCAGTAAGCGCTAGGTTCCAGGCTCTGGCGATTTGCGGCAACGTTTAAAGTTAGACGCGCGCCAGCCAAGGTGTCACCTCCATACATTAGGTACACTATGTATACTCCCCTACTATATGCATTACACCGCCTAGTCTGCCCCTCCCCGGCACAATTTCCCTTCTCCAGAGTTTATTCTGCGGAAGAGATCTATATTTAACTTATGAGTAATCACCCCTGTCGTTCCGCTATCGAGATCAGCCTCTACCGGGCGTGTCTTAATATTCGGAACTCTTACACATACAGCATGGCAGACTACCAATTAAGAAAGAATTGCCCAATCACAATTGCTTCTGTCGATCCTTTCTCGATAGAGCTGATCCTGCTCGCATGTATTGAACCTACTTGGACCTACTTGGACCTACATTGATTTATTCGTACACTCCCATTTCTACGTATGGTGCTAGCTTCAACACGACAATAGATATGACACCTCTAGCTACCCTTACCTACCTCGCATGGGGTTGCTGTCTGCAAGCAAGCAATGCCATGGCCGGCCGCATCTACGGTATACGCCTGTGGCACTACCCTCATGCCGTCAATATTTCCTATTGGCGTTCGGTCTCTATCGCTCATATTGTGGCTTAAGCACCCGCAGCATCATCACCCACATGAATAGTACCATTCTTGAAATTGTATGTCGTATACGTACATAGAGAGGCCCAAGATCGTTTCATTCATCTGACCCCATTCTCGCCCCCTTCGGTGCTGAGTCTTTTATCACCTTCTGTAACAAGCTCCTCCTCTCTTTCCTAGCTCCACCATCCTTCAAGCCCTTTCTCCATTTCATACCATTTCCATATATTATATTATTTCTTTACCAGGGTTCTTCGAATCCGGTCTATTCTGGGCTGTGCAGAACCAACGTGCTGGGATGCTGGCTTCCCCATCCTTAAGTCACTCCCCCTCTCATAGGTTAGTTTAATCAGCCTCTTAAAACCATATATCCCAGCTCGTAGCCACGAGGACCGGCCTCTTGAGACCTCTTCTCACCTTTTGCTCTTCATCGAACATAATCGGGGAGTCCTGTAGATCTCCAGAGTAGTCTCTGACGATCAAAGGATGCAATGTGCCTCACCCACAAAACAACACCAGAACGGAGGCCGGTTATATGACAATATTGTATACTGACAGCCCCCTAAGATAATTTCGAGTAGAATGGCTTTCGAGTCTTTGGCTCGTTGCCTCTTAATATGGATTACCCTTTTAGCCAGCTTCGCCGCCGGCGCGAAGCTCGGTGGCGATATCGCGGCCTTGGTACCGACATGTGCTCAGCCCTGCTTGGAGTCGTTCGTAGTGGCCAACTACCCATCGACAGACTGCACACAGAACCCGACGTTGCAATGCATGTGCTCAGAACAATCACATTCGGGATACACGATCGGGGAGGGAGCGCTACAATGTATTAGTACCGAAGAACAACGTGGAATATGTGATAAGAAGGACATTGCTGGTAAGTACACCAAGTTTCTTCTAGGTTAACTATACGATATCTACAGACATTAACATCGATGATAGGTTCTGTTAAGCGCGATGCCTATCTTATGTGCTCTAACGTGGCAAATGCGCTACCTAACACGCATGCTGTCCTGACGGCCACAATCGCAAACTCCCCAACTGGAGTGCCAGCGTCGATAGTCGCTCCCTCACCAACTCAAACTGGATCGACGACCGAGGCTGCTTCCTCATCATCCGGTTCATCAAACTCTCTCACGGGCGGTCAAATTGCTGGAATCGTTATTGGCGTCATCATCGCCATCATAATCATAATAGCTGCTATCTTCTTTGCTAGACGTATGCGCAGGCGGAATTACCAAGGGCTTGAGAGTAGAACCCCCGATATGACGGAGAGGGGCGGAGTTGAGACGCCCGAGTCGGGGAACTTCATGTCGGCGCCGTCTCGGAGTTTTACGGATCTTGAACCGCCACCTCAGCTACCACAATATCGCACATCATCGCCGCTATTCCCTGCCTCTCCTATGCCACCTCGTACTCCACCCAGACTTCCTTCGCCTAGCCCTTTCCTTTCACCAGCCCCTAGTCAAGAGTCCTTTGGGCTCGGCATCTCACGCTCTTTAAGTTCAACCCCTGCTTCAATGTCATCCCAGATTCCAGTCAATAGACCAACATCAAAACTCCTCCCCGCCAAGCCGACTATGGACTTAACAGCTCCTCCTCGACCTCCCCCTCCACCAAAAGACCTATTCAAGTCGGACGCAGTATTGTCTGGCGAGTCATCTGCGCGTACACAACAGACCAGCAAGACCAGCCTCCTAACAAATACGACAGGAGTAACACCTGCGTATATCACTGATAAATTTGGAAACTGGGTGCGGAACAAGAAACACCGCCAATCTGATCACCGGCAGGTCGCGGCGGTTGCAGAACTTGACACATATACCCCTATGACCGTGGCACCAATAGAAAAAAAAGAGGAGGAGACTGAGACTATCTCGGCAGCAGTCTCAGCTGCTTACGGAATTCCTAACAAGCCACCGTCAGCCTTCTTATCTAAAAAGAGTTCTACTAAAAGGCATCAGCGCTCTTCCAGCGTATATTCACAAGATAGCTTAGCCCGTCGTACTCGTTTGATGTCTTATGGTGGACTTGGGATCCAGCGCGGCCGATCTGATACATCTTTATCTGACGACTCTTTTACAACAATCAACTCCTATTCGACGAGTTCGGTAGATGAAGATGTTAACGGGCTTGATAGGACTCATTTGTCACACCCCCCAACACCTAGAGATATAACACGTACCCCTACCCCTGAGCTTGCTCAAGCCAAATACGTCAATGTCTCAGGACGCCTCAACCGAGCTTTGCTTCAAATCGACCCCACGAATAGGGCCTCATTTTCAAACTCGCCTCCTGGCCAGCCTAGCCCGACGTTGAAGGGCGACGCTCTCCTTTTGAAAGATGGCAACTCACCTTATCCTAAACCTTTAAAACCTAGGCGCCAGGACAGTGCTCAGATGTCAAAAACAAGCCTAGTTAGCGAGACGGAGTTGGTGCGGCCTCCTCGGCTCGACGACACGCGGCCATCGATTCAGAGTCCGCTATCGCGTTTCTCACCCCGGTTACCCAATGACGAGGCTTGGTTCCCGGATAGGCTTCAAACACCCCCAGCGCAAATCCCTGGGACCGAAGCCTCGCCCAGTCCTTTCGTAATTGATAGGCATCGAACGCCGTCTCCTATGTCATCGCGATCAGGCTCGGGGGACCAACCGCGTCCACATATAGCACGTGCGGTCTCGCCTTTGAGCCAGGCACAAACAAACCAAAGCAACGCAGGTGCTAGCTCGCTATTGGCAAAACGCCTTGGAAACGGCAAGGCGGTAGAGCTCGCGCTTGGCCCTAAGAATAATAAATTAAGCCCGCCCTCTCCTAGAGGTTCCCTTCCTGCTACACCAACGTGGCAGCCGAAGCTGACTCCAACGAGACACGGCGATGACCTGTACCTCAGTGTGCAGTAGAGGCGAGGCCTGCTACTTGATTAAGAAGTAGAGTCTTCTTAATGTTTCATTTAGTCGACGTGTTCCTTTCTCGTCTCCTACGTCTCATTGCATTAGAGGGTACTGTACATTCATCGCATAGCATCGCATCGCATCGCATATATATACCTACGGGCAACGTCAACTGAACGAAATTTCTTTTCTTCCATTGCCGCTACGGCCTTGTATTACTACATATTTTTCTACGCCTGCGGGCACTCATATTTGCATATACAATGCGGCGTTCTAGGACTTGATCTTCATCTTTGTTGTTAAGCATGGAGAGAATCTTTTTTTCTTTTCCTACTCGGAGTTCGGGGATACAAAATATAGGACTAGAAGGAGAGATAGGGATCGATATCCAACCATACCCAGCATAGGGAACACTCTCATTGCATCGTTCAATCATAACTGTTTTGTATGTATTATATCTAGCCTCCGCGGCTCAAGATTGAAGCTAGCTTAGCATAGCGCCTCGAGTTGATAGACTCGAGATGAATTAAAAATCTTGCTGAATCATGAATTGGCTATTACTATTGTGAATTGAATTAATATGTAACTACTCCCTTATGATTATAAGTGTAATACTCTTTAGTGTCTTAGAAATTTAACAATGCCCTACTACTTTCTTACCTCCATACAAATAATACTCATCGAATGATACGATGCAATGAACGTATCTATTCGGAGCTCTCTCTAGGCTGGGCTAGCTAACTTAGCTAATCGCTACATGAAGACATATCTTTAATGTATTAGGCTATTAGTTGTCAGTTATCAACTTTCGGCATTCTCGGACCTCCATAGCCCTCTTCGCACCTGCAGTAGCATTCGGGATCCAAGCATTCCCCGGGAGCGGCCCGGGAAAAATGGGGAATCTCCAGTGTGCAGTGGGGCTTAGCTCGGCGTTCTGGCCCCACATGGAAATTTTCTCCATAGAGGTTCTCCAAAAAAATCATAAGTTATTTCAGTCTTCGTTTCCTGCAGTGCAACTCGACTTCTCACCTCCCAACAAAGAAGACAGTCGGGGAAGAGATCCGGATCGCGCACTGCCACCACAAAACCAAATACACTTCAATTACTGCGGTAGCGACGACGAAAATACTCTCTGTTTGAGCGTCAGCTTAGCACGTATTGGTGTTCGTACAATTAGTGTGAACCGGGAAGCGGCATCGGAGGCTTTGCGATAGAATACATAGAACGGAAGCGCAGATATCCGCGGAGGCTATATCAGATCAGATCAGACCAGACCCCGATAAACTCACCACACACCGCTCGCGTATTCCTTCCCTATCCCAAGCCAACGTCATCCACCGATACCCTCACACCCAAAGACCAGACCAGACCAGACCAGACCAGACCAGACCAGACCGGCCAGGCAGAACCAAAAAACAAAACAAAAAAAAATGGCCCAAGGCGCCGTCAAACCCAAAAAGTCCAGCGCACCCGCGTCCTCGGGCAGGAAAGCCAAGCCGCAGCCGCCGAAGTCGACGAAGGGCGCGCGGGTGTCCAAGGCGAAAAACGCCTCGTCGGCGGATAAGCTGCAGCGGCGGCTTGCGGCGGGGCTGGTCGCGAAGACGGAGAAGTTGTTGGGGGAGCGCGCGGGACATCTGGAGTTGATTGGGAAGGGGAGGGTGAAGGGGGATAAGGATGGGAAAGATAAGGATGGGAAGGGGACGGCGAAGGGGGGGAGTCGGAAGTTTGGCTGAGGAAGTGGGATGGATGGGATAAGATGAGAAGGGAATGTCGCGGAGCTGCTGCTATGATGGCTGGTGGACTGATGTTGCAATAAAATCCGCCGTCTGTAGTTTGCAGTCCGCTCGCTGGACGATTCAGTCGGTTACTACGACGAGTTAGAATGCTAATATTGCAAATGACGAGGCATACCACCTCGAAGGATATGGGCAGGTCTGTTGAAGACTACGACATGGAGTTAGTTTGCCTGTCCTCGGTATACTCTCTCAGTAGGGGATCATCCTAGAGATCTTTTGCAACATATGTCACTTACGGACGAAGCAGTCTCAATATTACGATAGGAGAAGTGCTTCAAGACGAATTATAAATTACGGCCACTTACCTAACTATAGTATTCTCTTACTACAACTTCAAGTTGGTCTGGGTAGACTATCCAAGAGACGGGTCAATTAGCAAGGTCAATAGGAAGAAAAAAAGAGCTTTTGCCATTGTCACTAAAAGCCTCTTTGACATATAAGTCTATGTAGTTTAACCTAACTCATACTATTCGTCCCAGATATTCATTTACTACCCCCATCCTTCCACTCCTTAGCTATCCCAGCCAGTCTACCCTTCACAAACGCCAAATCCTCATCAACATTAACCCGCCAACTCGCCACCGCAATACGACACGCAGGCTGTCCCTCCCACTTCGTCCCGCTAACGTACCAATCCCCCGATGCTTGAATCTTCTCAACCAGCTTAGCATTAAGCCCCGAATCACGCGCGCGGAACAGCACCACAATATGCGTGTTCTCCTCCTCTTTCCCCCCTACCCCCTTCTGCTCGGCCGTAAGAGCGGCTAGTAATTCGTAGTCTCCCCTCAGCTCATCGTCGCGCGCTATAGCCCCGGCGATTCCCCGCGCCAGCCGCACCATGCGCGCCAGCATATCAGCTACGCCCGCCGCGCCCTCGCTTAGGAGCACCGCGTACACGGGTAGCGCGCGGAAGCGGCGCGAGTTCTCGAGGCCGATGTTTAGGGGGCTGGGGATGGCGGGGCCGGAGGACGGGGTCGGCGTTGAGAGGTAGACTGCGTTGGGGTTTTGGAATACGGCTTGGGGGGTGTGGGAGGAGCGGGTGAAGAATATGCCGGTGTCGTAGGGCTGGGTTGGGTTAGCGGTTGTGGATGGGAGGAATATAAGGGGCTAGTTAAGGGGGAAAGGGGATTGGGATAGACAGAGGGAGGAAAGAATAGGAGGAGAATATATATAAGACGTACGACGTTAAGAAGCTTGTGTCCGTCCACAGTGATGCTATCCGCGAGCTCGAGGCCGGCCGTAAAATCCCGGAGCCGTGCAAACTCGCTTGTTGCTGGGAGGGCGCGGGCAAAGATACCGAATGCTAGATATTTCCAGACATTAGTTACTTATCCCAACACATGCGTACATTATATGGGCAGTAAAACATACCGCCATCAACATGTATCCAAGCCTTGTACTTATCAGCCAAGTCCCGTAATCGCCGCATCTCCTCGACGCTAGTCGTCGCAAATCTCCCCGTATTAACCTCACCCGCACTAACAGCCACAATACTAGCAACCCCTTCGCGCTGCAACTCTCTCTCCACAGCATCCAAGTCCAACCTCCAGGGCTCAGCCTCGCTATACCGTAGTTCCTTCACTGCGCTCCGTCCTAGCCCTACAACCGATGCCGCTTTCGATAGCGAACTATGGCCCATACTCGTCAGGACCTGAATCTCTTTCACACCCGCGGCGGCACACGCACCGAGCAGTCCTAATTCACCCACACCACCACCATCCGCGCTTCCGGGTGGCAAGCGTGCGCTAATCACGGCTTCGCGACCACACGCCAATCCCAGAACATTACTCGCCGTCGCGCCCGTCGTAAACGTGCGGCCAGCCCAGCCTTCCCCCCCACCCCCGTCATCCAAATCCAAACCCAACAGCCGCAACAACAGCCTTAACGCCACATCCTCGACCTCAGTCGCAACGCTCTGCCCCGGCAAATGCACCTGCAGGCTATTATCCAGCGCCGAGACCAAGTTATCAGCCGCCTCGGCGACCGGCAGCGTGGACCCGGTCACGAACCCGTAGTACCGGCCGCTGCGGTTGTGGCCGGCGAGCGCGGGCGCGATGTCGGTGGTTAGGTGTGCGAGGGTGGCGGCGGGGCCGCGGCCGGTGAGGGCGTTGGGGCTGGAGGGGCTGGGGATGCTGGATCGGGCTGTGGAGAGGGTTGAGGTGGAGGGGAGGGTTGGTGCGGATGTGCCCGGGGGGACGGCGGCGACGGATCGGATGAGGGTGTAGGAGGTGCGGAGGAAGGTTTCTGTGTCCATTTTTGGTGGATGGGGGAGGTTGGATGTCTCGGTATAAGTCTATAAGGATGGTGGTTTATGTTTGTATACGTACTATATTACGACTTAGGAACGTCTTGGACGTGGTTGATGTGTATAGCGAAGAGGAATGCCAAGTGAGCTAGAATAAGTCACGACTCACGAGGGTATTCAAGGCAAATCAGATCAGTTCGAGGTGAAATGAGTCCAGGATCGAAATTCTGAATTTTATATTCATTAACTTGGAAAAGAAATTATGTGATCGGTGCCGGTTTATCGATCGCAAAGTATTACCTCTAACGCTGATGGCTTGGAGACGCTAAGTTAGGCTCACCGTCTAGATCTTACGCTTCTGGTTTTCATTTGTAACTCAACGCTTATGGTGATTCTGGGAGCATTGAAGGACCTTGGGTTGCTTCTTGTGTTAGGAATGAAGTTGTGATGTTATTGGACGAGTGCGGGGTGTATATCATGTAACGTCTATACTTCTGCTTGTTGTAGACTTTGTTAAACTTCAAGTAGCCGCCTAAAAGTTCTCAAAAGTAGTGATCAAACCCTCCCGACGTCTCTAAATGTGGGCGACTACTTATACCATGGTTTTGTAACGCACTGGTTATTATCATATACGTCAGAAATGGCGAGAATTTATAAGCCAGGAAGAGTAAAATAGTAGGAAAGGAGTCGAGGCTCGTGGCACAATGCTTAACTACAATCGTTCGGAATATAAGTCATGATGATAAGTTATACTCATCATGCTTAATTTCTCAACAATTCATTTCCTGCTAGATCGAGATGACATCTATCTCATCGTCTCTAAACCGTCGCTAAGAGCTAAGCTTTCCTCACCAGCCAGGCCAATTCTTCCGCCTTCTCGGGGCTAACTAGCTTTCGAAACTCTTCCGTGTTCAAGAAGTCATGATCGCAGAATTCGAAACCCGGAACCACCGTTTCTGATATCAAAAGTCCGCCACTGGTCTTTTCACTACCGCTAGCATTATCCGGAAGTAAAAAGCTAGCTTTGAACTTCCCTCCCTCGACGATCCACTGTAACTTCTCACCATTGGTAACATCCGGGCCGACGGTGAACGTCTCGATCCTCTTCCCGCCGCCGGGGAGGTCAGGCTCGTCGGCATGTATTAGCACGTATACGCCGCGGCCACGATGTAGGGTATGTACGGTCCTGCCCCGGTTTCGGTGAAAATTGCCTTGAGGCGACTGGGGAGTCAGGTAGTAGAATATGGAGGTCGAGGCATTGCGGTGAGCCGGGTCGAAGCCAAGTCTCTGTGGCACAAGAGATGATGCTGGAGTTTGGGGGAAAGGGGAAGGTATGAGAAGAGGATCACGCTAGTCAGGGGTTTTTTCGTTAGTTGCTGCTTAAGACGAAGGGTTCGTCGTGAGAGAGGGTGAGAGAGGAAATTGGGATATGGAATAAGCCGAGAGGTTGTAAATAACTTCAACAGTTATCCGTCATTGCTGGAAATATCACTATCTCGAGACACCTACATCGGTTTCGACGAAATATCCACCCTCGATATGAGGCACCAGCGAAAGTGCCTTGATAATGGCTTGAGTAGGTGGAGGCTCAGAAGCGGCTGATGGAAAACCCGCGGGAAACGACGGTTTGAGTTCTATGCCCGACATGACTGTTTTCAAGAAGTCCTAAGCATAGACGAAGGTATCACATATGTAGGAAACTCATAGTGACATGACAGTATCGAGTGCGTATCGAGTTATAATATATTCAACCCGGTAGAACGGTCACACCGCTGGGAGTATGTATGAACGAAACCCATGTCTAGGTCCATATGCCTCGTCATCATCGTTGATAAGCACTAGAGCTCTAATTCCCTGTCTTTACGAGATAAGTCTAAGGCCTTGCGTACATAAATATGTAGGAAGTGTAAGCACGAAATACGCTTAAAATAAGGGGAATATCCATGGGCAACGTAGGTAGATGGCTTTAAGGGCAGCTGTCTGGCGTCTGGCTGTAGGCTGTTTATATTGAATAAGGATCCAATTGAAAGATAGCGAGAAATGGATTCGGGCTGTTAGGCTTATTTTAAAGTGGGGTGATGTAAGTGGTGGATACCTCCTATGAGTGGGCGCTAGAACTAAGCTAAGTTCAGCTCGGCTAGGCGTTAAAATGGGTTAACTAGTGTAAAGTGCTTTCCCGTTTTTCCTCCTTTATTTTTTGTGGGGTCTCTTTCAATTCTTAAGTGGAAGTCATTGCGATCCAGACCCCCGTCTTAAACCCCGTCTTAGACTCTTAGGTACCGTCGATCCTTTCTTCAATCTTCATACTTCGTTTGGAGTCGAAAATGACCTAGGACGCACTCTTTCTCCAGTTTCCTTTTTTTGTCTTCTTCCTCTTCGGTTTCTTGAGTTGAATTGTCGAGATATTTCATTCGTATCGGTCCGCAACGCATGTGTGTACATGCTACGCTCCCTTTTAAATCTGACAACTCTCAAATCACAATGCTCAGTTCCAGCTGATAAAGGCCCAATCCGAATTGAGGAAGAAATAACCCCCCTGACCTATATCTAACAGCGACATACCCTCCTTCGGCTTCAGTCGTCTCCCAGCCTCCAACGCGAATTTCCTATTTTGTTGTTTGTCGGAAGCTCAACCTGTTTTTTTCAGCCGCGCGCCGTTGCAACCGGACTCGTACTCGACCCATGCTCACGAGAGCATACATTTATAATTCAAATAACGAGCGCAAATATGTCTGGGCTCATGAGCAAGCGCCAGCAGGCGCGAAATGAAAAGGTCTTGCAGGATCTTGTACATAATGTACCAGGGAATAATTTTTGCGCCGATTGTCAAGCAAGAAATCCATGTACGTCCTACCCGCAGAGCTAATTCCCTTTCATATCTATAATACAGAAACGAACTTACAGAGCTAACTTGCGTCTTCTAGCTTGGGCATCATGGAATGTACGTATTCGAGGCCTCCTCCGTCACCATCATCGTAGACTTTTAGCCGCCATCTACATTATCTATCCCTAACAAAATCGACACGAACTCGACGCTAATATAGTTGCAGCTTGGTGTTTTTCTGTGCATGCGATGCGCTGCCATCCATCGCAAGTTGGGCACTCATATATCTAAAGTTAAATCGCTCAGTATGGACAGCTGGTCCAACGATCAAGTCGAAGTACGAATCACCTAGAAGCCCCCAGAGATGGAGTTCGCTCAGTCTTGACTAACTGCATTAGTAGAGTATGAAGCGAGTGGGAAACGACGCGTCGAACAAGATTCATAATCCCCAGAATAAGAAGCCGCCGGTACCTATCGATGCTGACGAAGCTGATTCCGCCATGGAACGATTTATACGGGCCAAGTATGTGCAACAGAAGGCTGTAAACGGTACGAAAAAGCATAATACTGGAAGCTCAGACGAAGGTACTCCGCCGCCGTTACCGCCCAAGACTGGTAGTCGTTTCTTCTCCTTTCGGTCCAAGAAGGATACGCGTCCACGCGAAAGTGTTTTCGGCGTCCACGACCCTCCACGCAGCCCTGACCAGTCGCGCAACAAGGCTCCTAAGGTCTTTGGAGCTAGCGTGCATCAAGACACCCCGGAGGATATGGCACAGAAGTTAACACAGCTTAGGGATATGGGATTTACGGACGACAAACGCAACGCTATGATTTTAAAGGGTGTCAATGGTAACCTTGAAAAGACAATAGAAGCTTTAGTACGGTTAGGAGAAGGTGGAGGAGGACCCCCGTTATCTCTACCAAGTCGTGACAGCTCTATACCTCCTCCAACCTCAAGATCGTTAACACCTCAACCCTTGACGCCGAGAACCGCGCCCTCCATCGGGCTGTCGAAATCTAGTCCACCGACAGCGCGGAGTCCAGCTAGCGCCGCATCAAACAACCCGTGGGACATACAGCCAGCTCAACCCCAGTCGTCGCAGTCAACGGGAACTTTGCAGAACAGGAACCCCTTTTATGCTTCAAATCCATTTGGGATGCCGAGCCAGCAAGCCGATTTTAACTTGAACCAGAGCTTACAGAACTTGAACTTGTCTATAGCACCGGCTCCTCAACAGGCACTCTTCCCACATCATACTGGGGGAGTACCGGCTCCGCAGCCCATGTCGCAGTCTTTCTACTCGCAACCGATGACTCCACCAATTCCGCAAACACAGAGTTTTACACAGTCCTCACTTGCCAGCAGTCAGAGCTATTTTCAGCTGCCTCCACAGCAACAGCAGAGCTACAACCCGTTCCTACAAGCTCCTGCAAATCCGCAGCCTACACTTTCGTTAAACACTTCCCCATACCAGAACCAGGGCTCTCTTGCAAATAACCCTTTCGCTAGATCTCCTACTAGAGTCGTGTCGCCGACTTTAAATCAGATACCCGAACAGTCGCAACAGAATTTCTATAACTCATCCCACTCTGTGTATGCGAGCAATGCGAGCAATATGAGCAACCCGAGCAACCCGTTCTTTACGACGAGTCAGCCTGTACAAGCGTCCGCTCCAGCCCAGATGTCTCAGCCAGCCCAACAAGCATGGTACGAGACGCAACCCCCTGCACAAGTGGCAACTCAACCGATATACCAACAGCAGCAGCCTCAAAGGCCTAATACCGCTTCAATCATGGCTCTATATAACTACCCTCATCTAGCCCCGGCTCGTCCACAGGTCCAAGATCAGAGTGCATCCAGTACGCAGATAAACCAAACAGCCCCTGTACCAGCACAGCCGCAGGTACCTCTGCAACAAAACACATCATCACCCCTAGCGGGAAGCAATAACCCCTTTATGCACAATGCGGCAACCCCCGTTCCAAACGCAGCCGCGGCTCCATCGCCGTTCGCAGTACCCAGTAATTCCAATCCAGCTCCCTCAGGTGCCAGAAGCAGAGAGAGCATGACTCTTGGAATGGAGATGGCTTGGAATAACGGCCGACACAGTCCAGATGCGTTCGCCAGCCTGAGCGCGAGGAGCGGTTAATTAGATGCCCTGCACATACGTGTATATATAAAATAATAATCAAGGTGTATCATATCAATGAAGAAAATTTAGAAAGTATATATCCCAACCATTGTGCCCATGTTCTCCCCTATACTACGTATCTTTTCCGTGGCGAGCTACTTATGGATCTCTTTCAAGCTGAATTCCTCCCAAGGTATCTCCTCTAGGTTTTCGAAGCCCTGTTCTTCGGTCCGGACCACTTCGCTCCAACCCCGGAGCAAAGCACGCCAGTAACACATCTCTGCCGCGGGGCTGAAATATCCCCCGCCATCGAATAGCTCCCTTTGCCGCCGCGCAATGCCCTCAGCAATCTTAGGGTGCCGTTCTAGCCACTCAACCGTAGTCTCGAGATCGCTCCAATCCGGCGCCACAAACACGATGTTAGCCTCCCGAGGATCGTACTCCTTCGGCCAAGCATCCTTCACCCAGGGCGCCGGATATGGTACCAACTTCCTACTACTATCAAGGACAGTGCGCTCCACGCCCTCAAGCTGGTAACTAAAGACGGGCCGCACAAGGTGCGTGACATGCTGCATCCAGGCGATAGGCGGTGCCAAGACCACACTCGCGCACAACTGGTGGTACTGGAACCGCCCGCTGTACGTCACGCCCTCCGTGTGCACGATATATCGGTAGCGGCAGAAATCCTCGATCATCAAGGCGTTGCTGCCGTTCGCGGCGAGGGGCTCTACGTCCGCCCATGGTTTCCCCCGCGCGGTTAGGACCAGGTCGTGGCGGAGACGGCCGCCGCCGCGCGGGCTGTTGAACCAGGTTGTGCCGCGCCAGATGGCGCGGGGGTCTTTGCTGGTCCAGGACGGGAAGCGGGATTCGAGAACGGTGGTGGATTTTGCGGCGCGCGGGAAAGAGCGCACGCTGGAGATGGGCCAGGAGAAGAAACTGAAGTGCGGGATGGTGAAAAAACGTTTATTTGGACCGTTGAAGGATGGGTCTGCGGGGCGCGAGTACGATAGAGAAGGGGAGGTTGGGTCGTCTTCGTGGTTGAAGGCTAGGATGGTGTTGGGGAGGGGCTCGGTGGGGGGAGCGGTGAGGAGCGCGTTGGCGAGCTGGTGCAGGGTTGCGGAGCGGTGCTGAAGCATGTCTTCTGATAAGTCGACTTTGCGCGCGTAGGTGAGGATGTATAGGCGTCGGTCGCGGATGCGTAGGATGGTTGGGCCGAGGCCGTGCGGGTTCCGGCGCAGGGTGAAGGGGCCTTTGGATACGGCGGTGTCGATTTCTTTGGTTAGGTCTGGGAAGGCGGTTGTGCACTGCGCGGATGTGAGGATGCGGTTGTTGAGGAGGGCGGGTGATAGCAGTGGTTTGTTCTTCGAGTTGAAGTTGGAGTTGGAGTTGGAGTTAGGGGCGGAGTGTGGGTGGTGAAAGGTATCGGCCATAGCTGGTCGCGACGAGTCGAGGCTGTGGTCGGGTACCAGGAGGAAGCAGTATAATGCCAGGCATATCACGGAGATGAGGACGATTTGTCGCAGGCGAGTGCTTGAGACGAGGGCTCGCCTGCTTGTTCGTATTGTCATGGCGCCCATTGTCGCGGCGGGTGGCCCATCTCAGGGTTGTTCTTATGTCTACTTTTGACCCTCCCGACTTGGATTCTCGTTCAGGTTTAAGGCATAGTATACTTCAGGTACCCAACAGTTTAACAACTCTCAGATTTTGTAAGGACTGTGAGTATCTAAGCTATCTAGTAGTGAGAACAGGTAAAGAAACTCATTTCGAGAAACCAAACAATGATAAAATTATGAGATAGCAAGTTCGCGCCCATATCTGCAGATCTGTTGAGAATAACAGGCTATCCGGGACATCTGGCTCCGAGAGCGTGGCATGCATGCTATTCTAGGTAGTATCTTAACTGAACACTTATCGCAACTACGACGTTGGATCCCGGGGGGTTTTCATGCGGGCCGCCAATTAACTTGTGCATGAACATCCCGGTTTGGTACCTTGTCTACCCCGGAAATACCTAGGTACCTACGTAGTGAAGAGTTGAAGATCTGAGGTATGCATAGGATAACTCGATCGAGTGGAGCGACAACATTGCGATCCAATAGAGGTATATGAGCAACAGATCTGACTTAGTATTTAGCTAGCTAGTACATGTGCTATAGGTACTTTTTGTTTTCTATCAAAATTTAATTACACGATGGCGTCTTTTTAGCCTATGTCGTCTAAGACTACATAGGTAGAGACTAGACTCCGCCCGAGACTTTGCTACATAAACGAGTGCAAGCAGCCGAGTTCTCAAGTCACGTGGAGTCTTAGCTCAGTGGTAGAGCGAAGGATTGCAGATCCTTAGGTCGCTGGTTCGATCCCGGCAGGCTCCTTTCTCTGGTCGGTTGAATTATAAAATAATATTCGACATTTGCTTTTTGTAAAGTTCATATTCATTTTTTATGTAAAAAAAATATTTTCAGTGTTTGAAGCCAGTTCTCTTTGTTCATCTCAGTTTAACGTAGGTAATATGGCGACTTGGTATATCGATTGGAATACGTGGGCATCGGATATGAGTATGATGACTTTGAAGCTTATATTTTCATCTTTAGCAAGAACAGTATTGTCTTTTACGCCAGTCCCACGTGAACATAATATCATATTGAGCGGAGTGGGGCTTTTTCCCGCAAGAATCATAGCTACAACTCAAGGAGCAAGGACCTCTAGTGTAGTATGAGCATAGTGAACACCTTTCTTCTCATTTTTCAAAAACCAAAAGAAAAAGAGCTTTCAAAGTTCCACGATATGATAATAGTTGTGGTATCACAAGTATGAGGTATGAGTCAATTTATAATTAAGAAACAGTACTTACAGCAAGTCGCCTCTTAACTCCTAGGAACATCTGACTTAGTAGTCAAGGGGTGATATACATACAAGCATAAGAGAAGTTTTTATTTCAAATCATGTTTCTAGAGCGAATGTATATAGTAAGAGAGCCGAGTGTTCATCAGCCCTTCATAAGTTATATAATGGCTTTAGATAACTAGAGATAGAAATCAACACCCACAAACGTGATAGTTAAAGGGACAGTATACAGTAGGTTAGCTCCTTATCATTATGCCCAACATATTATATATAAACCTCCAAGCCACAGCTTCAGTCAAACCGTCAATCACAAAGGATTTGTCTTGTATGGCCCTAGTTGCTTGTTTGTTTGTAGAGCTAAGATTCGGCGTTTAGACGAGGGTGGTGCGGAAAACCCCCAACGATACACCATTCCTAGGAAAGAATCCCGCAAACCTAAGGCTAAGACGAAGTATACTCCCCGATATCTGCAGACGATTTGGTGCCATCGGTGATATCGTAGCGGAGTTAAGAAGTCTTGGTAATAAGGGTTGGGTGAGGATGGAGCCCAACGCGGCTAACCTTTCGGAGACCCCCGTTAACAAGTTACGATAAAACAAGGTCCTTCTGTGGATAACCTACCTACTGATTAAGCAGCTTGTCGGTTAACCACCGATTGGCGGTTGATATTTCAATCCACCGTCTTGGCATCCGCAGTTGACTTTATAGTCGGACTTGGGTATCACACGAGGTTATCCTCTTAGATATTGATTTACACAGGACTCGCCGCAACGTCTTTTAGGATATCTAACTGCAACTCGGGCTGTATGTCTATACATTCAATTTCGAAATGATTGTCATTCCAAACACCTGGTTTGACGAAAAGGTCCAAGATGAGGTAGCGACCACAGAGCAGACTACCGCGCTTAAGGCTTACCTCGAGGATGATATAGAAGCCGAGGAAGCGGGAATGCTTATCACTGCAGACGTGCACCAGGAAACCCTTGCTGACACAACCTCGGCCGAGGAAATAAACGAGGAGCTATGCAAGCTCTGGGGGTTTATCATTGACGTCATCGTGGACTGGCCTTCGGAGCACATCAAGATTGCCAATCTTTTGGATACCATCAGCAAGCTTCCACATGTCGACCGCACGGGAAGAGACAGCCTGGAAGTTTTCATGGACGGAACCGGGACGGTCCGGGCCTCTGAGCTGTGGCAGGATCTCCCTAGATTCTGGAACTCGTTTAGCGATTACTGGCATTGTAAGTTACTCAACATGTGTTCTCCTCCTGTCGTACCGTACGGGTGTAAGTGTAAGCGCGTGCTAACGGTCGTGCAGCGTCAGCTGGTTGGCCATATAGTCGACCTGAATCTAGCGCGGAAAAAGCGGCTAACTCTCAATGGACTAACATCAACTCATTTGCCGCGATAGTCTTCATGGGCGGCCCGTTTGCGGACATGCCGCTTTTAGGAGACTGGGGCTGCTATGTGATTAAGAAGGCGTCGAGGTCGGATTACGAGCCTGTAGAAGTGCATATTCCCTCGGCGGCTGTGTGGATGCGGTTTGCCGGCAAGGAACTGTATCACTTTTACTTGACGCGGTATGAGGGACCTTTGATGCGGGAGAGGTGGGAGGGCTGGAGGAAGGAGTTTAAGAAGATATGTAGGAATGATACGGTAGATGCTGATATTAGAGAGAATGCGGCCGAATTAGCAGCGTTGATGGGGATGTCTTTATGAGCGAGTATAGTTGGGAGATTGACATCCTATTATTGTGTATCGAGATGCAGAAGAGATAAGTTCCTGCTCGTGTATATGCTTTAGTCTTATAAGTCTTATAAGTCTTATAGGAGAGACCCCTATTTATATGCCTGAGGAAGGTACGTAGACAGCTACTCCGTTGCTGCCACGCCGATGCGCTTAGGTTAGCGGTAGTTTCGGGTACCGGTAGGGCTAATCTCGGTATTAGTTAGCGGGCGAAGTGGGTCCCTCCCGCTAACAATCGCGTGCTTGCTCGACATGCAAAAACCCTTTTTCCCTCACGAGTCATCGTCTCTATCGTTGCAAGTTAAGTCGGATATATGCGAACTATATATAAATACGGGTATTAGCGTGTGACATTATCCGCAGTGGTTATACTGTACTGGGAAGACTAGGATATACCACCAGAGATCCCGAGATTTAAGACTTGTGACACTGCTGTGGGCTACAAAATGGTTCGAAATCTCAAAAAACCCTCTTCCCCTAAACTTAGACATTGAAATTTCATCCCCTGACTTATACTCATAGGTCCATGCAGATGCATCGAATTTTGCCGAGGGCGTGACAAAAGAGCAGGCTTACACGCAAGTCCTCTTACAGGCGGAAGGTCTCTTTGACGGCCAAAGAAACTGGGTGCGTTCATGCCCTCAGAATTCAAGCACCAGACTCACACTTATACTTCTGCCTCCTTAGGTATGGTATGTCTTCGAGTATTTAATCAAAGTAGTATTGTCGGCTTGGAGTTGGACTGACCGATGACTCCTTGAAGCAATCTTGCCAACGCAGCATCCCTCTTATGGCACGCTTATAAATCGTTGCCTCACCCAAGCAACCAGGTGAACTGGGCAGGTTAGTAAAATATTGAAATACGGAAGAAGCCTCTGCGGCTTCTTAAAACATAAGTACTCGAATTTACAGCTACGCCATTGCAGGCTTCTACACCCTTGATCCGCAGACGACAACATCAAAACGCCAGCTCGTCCTAGGGCCGTTCCAGGGCAAAGTCGCCTGCCAAACCATCGCCTTCGGTAAAGGGGTATGTGGTACGGCGGCGGAAACCCAAATAACGCAGCTAGTTCCCGACGTCGAGAAGTTCCCGGGACATATCGCCTGCGACGGGGATAGCAAGAGTGAGATCGTGGTACCTATTGTCGTCGGGAGCGGAGAAGCGAAGAAGTTGGTGGCTATCATAGACGTCGACTGTGCGGACTTCAACGGGTTCGATGACGTGGATAAGAAGTACTTGGAGCAGTTGGCAGAGCTGATAGGGAGGAGTTCTGATTGGTGAAGCAGGAAGTGTGAAGGCGGCTTACGGAACTATCACTGGCCTCAACCATAGCCTCTGGCCTATTATAGGTTAGATTATCTCTAAGGCCTTATTATAAGGTCTCCCATATGCAGGCTGTGGTGGAAATATGTCGCCCTGATGCGTCAGAAGTTGCCAAACCTGATTAAGACGATGTACCTATGTCTTGTCCCTACGAGGCGTATTTCAATCGCAGGGCAAATTAATCATATTCCATACGCATTATCAATAGCATATCATGACTTGTACGCCGAATTAATGCAAATAAGCAATAAGCAATAGCTTTGATCATCTAAATCACTTGGGCTCTATTCGTGCCCTCCAACTTGTCGAGTTTACAAATCCGATAGTTCCCCTGACTCTGACCACTACTCCTATGATATGCTTATCCATACAAAACAACCCTAGAACCCTTCTACCATTAATGTCAGGAATGTCCTTATATCAACTACTGCGTCCTATACATACATCAATCAAGCTGTCGGTGCTGGGTTCGGCAAGCAAATGTCTCCGCCATGGTAAGTCGCGCGTTCTACAAATTCGGATCATTACCGCACCCTTTCCTTAAACAGCCTACTTCGAGAGGTTCTACTGAGGGAAGCACATGAGTGATATGTAAATAAGTAGATATAATAAATACAGTTCGAAATATCAAAAATAACAGAAATACCTGCGAAAACACCTAAGAATAACTTAGCATACTAATAAGGAGAGTATCGGGTATGCCAATATTCAATCTAACCTTCCATCCTATCAGCTTATGCACCAATCCAACACACCCGCCCCGCACCGGACGCCAAACCCGCTTCAAACCGAACCCACCTCCAATTCCGAAATCCCGATCTCGCAGCCGAGGAGCTTTATCCCACCTCGTCCTCGTCCTCGCGAACGGTGATAATGCGATAACCATGAGAAGCTTCCTGCGGACCCTACGAGCCTTCTACTCCAAGCCGACCACATCTCGTCCCCGGACTCTAACACCTAATTCCCTATCCTTCGCAGCCCGCACCATGGCCACCTCCACCGCGCCCGTCCTCAAGCAGCCTATCAAGCTAGCCTGCATCCAGCTCGCCAGCGGCCTCGACAAGACGGCCAACCTAGCCCACGCGCGGGACAAGGTCGTCGAGGCCGCGCAAGCAGGCGCTAAACTCATCGTATTGCCAGAATGCTTCAACTCGCCCTACGGCACCAATTACTTCCCGCAGTACGCCGAGACCCTCCTCCCCGGCCCCCCGTCCCCCGACCAGTCCCCCTCGTACCACGCGCTCTCCGCCATGGCCGCCGAGACCGGCGCCTTCCTCGTCGGCGGGTCCATCCCCGAGGCGGATCCGGACCCCAGCACGAATAAGTACTACAACACGTCTCTGGTATTCGGGCCCGACGGCGCGCTGCTAGCGAGCCATCGCAAAGTACATCTCTTCGACATCGACATCCCGGGGAAAATCACCTTCCGCGAGAGCGAGGTGCTGTTCCCGGGGAACAAAGTGACCATTGTAGACCTCCCCGGGTACGGCAAGATCGCCGTGGCTATATGCTACGACATCCGGTTCCCCGAGCTAGCGACGCTGGCCGCGCGCCGCGGCGCCTTCGCCCTGGTATACCCCGGCGCGTTCAACCTGACGACGGGCCCGCTGCACTGGCGGCTGCTGGGCCAGGCGCGCGCCGTGGACAACCAGGTATACGTGGCGCTGTGCAGTCCGGCGCGGGACCTGGATGCGGCGTACCACGCGTACGGGCACAGCTTGGTCGTCGATCCGATGGCGCGGGTGCTGGTCGAGGCGCGGGAGAAGGAGGAGGTTGTGTATTGGGAGTTGGACGGCGAGAAGATCCAGGAGACTAGGCGGAATATCCCGCTCGCGACGCAGCGGCGGTTCGATGTTTACCCGGATATTAATGAGGGCAAGATTAGTTTTGAGGAGCCGAATCCGCCCAAGTGAGGTTGTGGTGATGGTGGTGGTGGTGAGTAAGGAGTTGGTTTCGCTGGGTTAAAGGGGAGGAGGGTTTAACGTGGGTTTAGATATATCTAACTACCTACCTAACCTACCTAAGGCATAGGACGTGGATAATAGAACTGAGCGTTGCCGCGGGAGACAGCTTGGACGCAAGGTTAAGTGTTCCTTGGGAGGTTATCTTGTCTTATTGCCTCTGAAAGCATAGGCACCACTACTCTGCAAGTTCTAGTGGTTATTTTTATCACTTATTGTAAATAATATAGAGGCAGACGGTCCTTAACGAAGTATGATTTACGACAAAATCTGAGGTTATAGTTATATTGTCGGCGCATTTATATGACCGTCTAAAAAGAGGTCTTGTATATGTCTTAGATACCTACCTACTTATGAATTTGGTCTGTCTTATGAACTTTGATCATCTTTTAACATAGCGTATAACTTATTATCCTCTACCCTTTTCCGTGAGATATCATTCTAGTAGCCTTCATACCTATTCTACTATCAATTCCTCTCCTGGCAATTCACTTCGACGCGGGCGATTTTTACCCGAGAATAAACGTACCGAACATACATTTTCGTATAGCCATGAGCAATATGTATTTTACTGTATCAATCTGCCTACCTTATTAAAAACGCGCGCGTAGTGTTATACACAAATAACCTATACTCCTTTCGTCTTCACACGCTTGTGGATCGTCTCCGCCACCAAGTCATATGCGGCTTTCCGGCGTCGTATGAACACGATATGCCGTACGCCGCCCTCGCAATCATCTGGTGTTTGACCGAATAGCCGTGCCGCGGCGTCATCGGCTTGTGCCATAAAGCCACCAAGGAACGACGGTACCTAGTTACACTGGGGTTTGAACTGTTGTAACACTTATAGATATCGTATGCATGTATACCTAAGATATGTTGGATATGTTGTGTATGTGTATTTTCAAGGTTGGACCCTGTTATTACCTCCCACACGGGAAAAGGAGGCACGCGAGCAATTTCCTTATCGGATACTAAGCTGGTAACGGTCGATCCTCAGGGTCTCCCTTACCTGAGAGAGCATGCGTGGTTTATACCTAGGTAGGTATGTCTCACTGAACTACCAACCCCTCCCTCCCTCTGCACCCCACCAATTCATCATCTATTAATCGATCGAGGTGCCACAGACGGACCCCGAGAGACTGCCGAGAGTTCAAGGATCGATGGCGGCTAGTTACTCTAGGATTGTGTGATACTATATAAACGTTACTTTTTTTGCGTAGCATAGGGGGGAAGCCCGTGAGCAGGATCAAGTGTCTGCGAACGGTAGGTGTTTGTGAGATAAGGAATAGGGAATAGGCCATCACTCTTTCGGGTTTCATATTGCGCGGCTGATGAATACAACAAGGCGAAAAAGGCGGTAGAAAAAAAAGCAAGGGAGGCCAAGAGTAACGAATAAATGACTGGTCACATCCCGCATGTTCTTTTCCGAGCCGTTGCTATTCTGCATGTCAGCGTCGCTTTCCGATACCGCTCGGCATCTCATCTGAAATCTCGAGAATCTGTGATCTTGGGCGTCCTGCTCTCTTAGTCGTTGTGAAACAGAACGACAGGAGTTGCCAGTCTGACAGTTTGAGAATTTCCAGGGTTGCTTAACGTTTTTCCTTTAGTCGCGGACCCCCTACTCGGGAAAAGGAAGATATCAATATTACTCGCTTTTGCTTCTTTTATTCAGACGTCTTCTTCATCCTTCTAGGTAGCCTAATTGGCCCTAAAGACAGGTCCAGCGGGTTACTAGGTAGTTATAAACTAGTATTTTTAGTATACGTCTAGATACGTCTAGACCACTTTGTTAGTGCTGGTTAAGTTGGTATTTGCTTTTTGATACTAGGCGGAATAGGTATAAAGGCCTATTCCCGGAAACTGATGCTAGGGATTCGGATGCGGCTCTACGTAGCCGGCATACGCCTTGCAGATCACGAGGATGACCGGCTTGGCTCTCATTGGCACTATAATTTGTCTGTATGCACTCTGCTGCTAGATCCCATAATGTAACTTAGAAGGCTTATTTCTTGCATTGCAAAATCTAAGGGTCGGGGTGAGATTCTGCAATTTGACTCTGTTCAAAACATCATGTGGGTGGATGGATGGCTGGTAGTATCGGTGGTGGTGGTAGCAGTCGGTTTAGAAAATTTATTTCGCTTATGAACCACTGGTTAACTGGGATGGCTCCGCGTTTAGATGCGCTCTTTGTAGTAGTTTTAGCCGGGTTTGTTCGGTAAGGGCGCTCAGCTTTGAACATTAGTATGCAGTAGGCAAGGCCCGTATGTATATACCCTTTCATAATTGCAACGGCCGGCGAAGAGATATATCATAACGGGACAGATAGCTTGTAGTCTTTTCCCATGCATAATAGGCGATGTCGTAGTAGAAGTTGTGACGAACATTTTGTTGATGATCATGAAATCTCTTCGGTTCCCTAAGACATCTTTTTAAGACATGCTTGAGAAAATGTTCCTTTTTTTAATTCTTTTTTTATTTTATTTTTTATAGATCTCTTCCATGCAACTCACGACCCGCTTGCCTATAACATCAAGATGTCTAGATCCGTAAACGTTTGCGGCAAGTGGACACGAGACCAAAGTAATCTGTACTGTAGGCGTTCTAGACGCCATGGTTCCCTTGCACCAAATTCGTCATGTAATCCCGGTTGACAAAATGCTGCAGTTCATACGGTTACAGCGCAGTCATTGTGTAACTTTTTCCGTTTGTTCGAGTCAATTGGAACCGAAGTTGATACGACGGCAGGCCAAAAAGAGGCAACAGGTCGCATGACCATTTACCTAGTAAACAAAAAAAGACAGATATGAGATCGGGTAGGAAAATGAAGGTATCGAGGATGAGTGTTACAAGAGTCTCAGACCTGTCACAGGGCGGTGAGGGCACACGTGCTTGACATACAGTTTGTGATTGGCAAAGGACACTAAACGTTAAATAGTCCCTAATTCGTCCTAGTTAGTTAATCTGTCTATTCCTGCAAGTTTTATATGTGAGGGAAAGACTTATGTAGCTTCCCCAAAGCTAGCGGTTCCGGCTGTTAGGTAATGATACAGCTTGCCTGTGTCACCCACCAAATCAAGACAACTCTGCCCCGCTCTAACCAGAATCAGGGTCTTCTTAATCGACCAATCAACTTACATAGATTCTTCAACCTTCTCTCTGTTAGTTGCAATATAAACCGCGGATGCTACCTGATCAGTATCACAATTGCTTTTTTAATACTTTCGAAATAACCCCTCAGATCGTAAGCTTCGCGAGCATCTAAACACTTACCACATACAATTATGCAAGCCATCAGATCGCGGTGTTACAAATTCTTTATAGGTTTAATTGGCAGCAATACAATTGACGGCAGCACAGCAACACAGCATAGCCGATGATGTCGACAGTGGATCGGATATTCGTTAATCAATTCCCTATGCCCTTAGGTTGTATTGCATACCCATAAGTGGAGAAAATGGAGTAGGATTTAGGACAAGGATACATATTGTGACCAGGATTAGCGCAGGGGCCGAGACCGCTACGTACGTATTTCCCGCCCTACCACCACCGCTAAAGCTCTAGCGCTAGAAATAAGGCAAGATGCATCTCGGTTGATAATGAATTTCGAAGAATTTAGAACCACGACCGCGAGACTCTCACGATACAATGTATGTATACTCTACCCTACCACTCTACCACTCTACCACCACTCTAACCGGCTTTTCATCCCTATTCCCCGTCAAAGGACGAGAAATAAGAAACCGCGCTACTGTGTAAATATGACACCACTTCAACCATTTATAATGTCAAGGGGTTCCCGTTTCTTATCCACTGCTTCTAAGTTCTATTCACCGCGTCTATGATCTATGAACATCCAATATTCTACCCGACTCCGCTTCTCTAACAAACTGAAGGAGAGGGACGATCAATATTTAAATAATTTGTCCGTGCAGCAGCTGGAAAGCAAGACAATTGGTACCCGTCAAGTTCCAAGCAACTAAGAAACCAAGTATCTAGGTAGCTTCGTCTCGGCGTGCATCTCATTACAAGTATCTCGTATATACGTACTTACGCTACCTAGGTACCTACATACATGTGCGTATACATGCGCGTATAGGTACCCACCAAAAGAAGCAAGGCAGGTAGCACCAGAGCGACTGTATCTACCCGCCGAAACATTGAACAGTGATAACGTCATATCATTGCGCGTGGAATAATCGACGGTCCAAATCATTGAAAGTTCCGACTTCTCCCCGCCATCTAAATATTCTTGTCTACTACCTTAGGTACATTTACTATTATTACCCCGAACAATTATCCCGACCAAACAAAGACGGGCTATCCAACGATTCCGGTCCAATCTTTCCTCCTCCTATACACATACGAATAATTTCAATTCGTATTATATAGGCAAGAGGTGGTATTGTGAATCATCTCTTACCGAAAAAATAGTCGCAACGGCTATATAATCGCCGTGGCGCTTTCGAATTGGTAGAGTAACGATGAAATACGGGGAGCACTTTGAAGAAGAGTCGGTCCCGAGCTGGAGTTTGCATAATATCGACTACAATTCGCTGAAGCACCAGATTAAGGTACACACCACTAAAGACCAGGCCACCGCAATTGCTATCCCTGGCCAGCAGGATCATGCCCTGAAGAGATTTGAGGACGCCTTCTATATCGAACTCTGCAACCAGCACAATCGCGTTGGTCTCTTCGTTACAAGCAAAGCCGACGAGATTTCAAGACGACTATGTACGCTTTCGTCGCTACTATCCCAATTGATCGACCTCGTTTAACTAACAGTGTGTACTCTACAGGTCACCTCTCCGACTCGATACACCAACTCATAGTACGATGTAACAACGCCGGCGGAGTGTCGTCTAAGCGGCAACGGCGACTCGCTAAATATGCATTACAAGTTGACGAGTGCGGCGACGACATTAAGGCATTGAGCCGATTTGTCAACGCCCAGGTTATCGCGTTCCGCAAAATACTCAAGAAATACAGGGTATGTACTCACATATAACTTCCCGACATTATAGGAGAAAACCTACGCACGGTCATGACATAGTACTAACGGTTGGCGGCCTACGCCTGCGTATACATAGAAATGGACTGGCTCAACAACGTTAAGTAGTCGTTTTAAAGAGAATATCCTCACCTCACCCAAGAGCTTCACGAGGCGCGACTTTCATCCCTTACGACTACATCACCGAGAGTTGCTCGCCACCTTGGAGGCCGCCATTCCCGACCTGAACTCCCTTCAGATCGAACGACAGAAAGCGAAGTTACAATCCGAACAACGCGCCGACAGTCGCCGATCTTCGCAGACACAATCCCCGAAATCCGCATCCATCAGTACACCGGGTGGTTCGTCGATGACGTATTGGAACGAGTACGACCACGGGAGCGAGGCGGGTGATCACGACGAGGAACGGGGATACGCAATCTATATCGACCCGAACGCTAGTGTCGACTTCCCAGGCTTTGTGTATATTAAAATGATATTCACTGTCCCGGTAGACAAAGTTCGGCACTGGTTGAAAACGCGCACGCCACATCTATATCCATCCGAAACACAATCACTTCTCGGCAGCCCTTCGCCTGATTACTTCAGTACCCGGCATTCGACTGCACAGACGACTGATAACGAAGCGACCGAAGACGAGTACGCCTCGTCGCTAAATTCCAGCATCGGTCGCCGGAAAGGAGCACGCTATGCAGCATTGCCGGCGACAGAAGAAGACAATGACTACCAAGTGACCTTGTACCGCGATAAGGTGCTGACTCGGACCGTGGTATTCACTTTCATTGCTGCGTTTATCCTCTTGCTCGTCTCCGGGGTATTAGTAGCAACAGGCCGGCATAAGCTCCGGCTCGAAGTCGACGCGGGCGTTACGGTCGGATCCGTGGCAAGTTTATTCTGCGCTTGCATGGGCTTAGGTGCCATGCTATATCGTCAGTACCCCGTCAGCATTCTGTACAGTCTTGCTGTCTGGGGCGCGTTCACGGCTGTGTGCGCCCTGAACGGCATGTTGCTTGTATTAGTAGTGGGGAATAACGGGTTATGAAAGTAACCAATCGCTACCACCAATTGATTTTGGCCTCGGTTGGGGTTTGTCTTACGTTAGGTGTTTCGTGGCGTTCTATAGGGTGATCTATTAGAGAGGAACGGGCAATACTTACCTCGCATATACGAGGTTACATGCCATGTGCATATACCCTCGCCTTACCACTGCGAGGCCTCGGGAAGTGAAAGAGGTATACATAGAGATTGTTATCGGAGGGCTCGGCTCAACCAGGACGTAAGGTCTCGTTTTTCTTATCCACGTTGCGTTAAAGGCTTGTTTCGAAACGGTACGATACCATACATAGATTTCGGGTTCGCGAGCCTGTTCGTAGGTAGTTATTTGGGTTTGGAAAGGCGCGATTGTGTTGCGGCTCGCTGCCGCCGGTGCGATTTGTATTTGTACGCGAGTACCTAGGTTAGGTAGGCATCAATATATATTATTACGATATTGTACGGTGTTTCTTTGTGCTATATCCTAGTTGAACTATGTTGCTAGTATAGGTACCTATGCTTACTGTTTTGCTTTTGCTTTTGCTTGTACATGAAGCACGACCGTGATCCGACCAATCGCTTCTTTATAGAACCGCTATGCGCGCAAGTCAACAGCCAGAAGAGGCAGGTCAGTAGAAATGAATACATCTTTTGGCCTGTTATAACGAGGTATATCAATATCAATATTCAATTTAGACCGAAACATAGACCAAGGTATTATTTCTTCCGACAATATCATTCAGAGTCCATTCTCTAGTATGTAGTCAGTCTCCTACTACCCGCACCCCCATCCCTTTTTGCTCGCGCATCAAACCTCGCTGTTTTCCAGTGTATACCATCCATCCGTAGTCCAGACTCCATACCCAACCAGACATAGAGAAGACAGGTAGAGAAATAGTCGGCAGGACGAAGAGTTGAGAAAAATAATAAAAAATAAAAAATCTTTCATGTTCCGTTATTATAGTCCTGCCTTTTTCCAAACACCAAACTAAACCTACAGACCTGGACAAACTAAATACCTAAAGTAGGAGACGAGGATATATATATGAAAATCAGAGGAAGCTCGCCTGATCTTTCCCCTTCTCCTTGAAATATCACTATTAACCTCCAGGCTCCAATAACAAGTTTTTCCAATCCCGTATCCAGACAGACAGACAGACGGACAGACAGACAGACTTCCCTACGCGGGGGGAGTATATATTTAAACATATACGTTAGGTATGTATGTAATGAGACACGAGCGAACGGTATTTCGAAATATACCACGGCATCCGTATCTTCTCAGCACCTACAGACGAGAAAGGGGGAGGTGAGTAAGAACGGCTCCCGTACGGCGGGGGCGAAATGTCACCTCTGCGCGAAATCGAAGCACATGGTATGCGGCGGGGGCATCAGCCGCGAGCGCTGGAGGTAGTGGTTGCGGTCGACGTTGAGTTTCTTCTCGAGCTGGCTCATCATTTTTTCTAGGGCATGAGTTAGTTAGTTAGTTACGTGTCTCCCCCCTCCCTAAGAAAGAGAAGGATAGGATAGAATAGAATAGAATAGGATAGGATAGGATAGGGCTTACCAGCGATCCCCCACCGAAAGCTAAACAACCTTAAGCTCTCAAACTTCTCCTCGATATCGGCCTCGCACTCGGCCCTCTCCTCGGGGAAGATGCGCCGCAGCGCCGCGTACGCCTGTATCACCAGGTAGCACGTAGCGCCGGCGGGGGCGCACAGGAAGGCGGGCGACCGGGGCGCGGACCCGAAGTTGGCGTTGAGCTTGCACGATATGTCGGTCGACATCTTGCAGGCGAAGCGCAGGGCGGCTATGGCGGTGGAGATCTCGGCGCTGGAGGCGACGAGGGAGGAGGCGGGCGCGGAGGAGAATGGGAGCGTGTTTTCGAGGATGGAGAGGTAGGGCATGTAGAGGGTGAAGAGCGCGCTGGGGGGAGGTTAGTAGGGGGTTAAGTAGTTGAGTGTATTGGGGGTAGGGTTGTACGTAAAGGGGGATGTATAGGTGATAATAGGGGGCATACCTAACAAGCATAGCAAAACAATCAAGCGTAGCCTCCCAATCCAGCGTCTCCCCCAGCAGCGTCAACGTGCTCTCCCTAATCTCTCGATCGAGGTCCGCATACGTCGATACCAGCGGCATCTTGCCCGGCCGAGCATCGCGCTCCTTATCTATGCGGAGCGCGCGGTGGAACAGACACGCTGTCTTGGCCGAGAGCTGGAAGCCGCCGAACTTCTCGGCGCCGATGGGGATATTGGTGCTCAGGTGCCGCGGCGGCGACGGCGGCGACATGGGAAATGCGACTCCGGATGATGATGCTGTCCCGCTTGGGCCTCCGGTCGAGCTCGGCGGAGGCGTTGTCGGAGGCGTCTCGGGCAGAAGCGTGTTCCGCGTCGGACTCTCGAGCAGGAACGGGAAGTCCCTCGCGTTTTCGTCCTGGTGGATGAACCTAAGTCTCTTGTAAGTATTGCATCTCGAACGAGCTGTCGTTTCCCCCCTGGTCTAACTACCCCCTTAAGAAAGGAAAAGAAAAGAAAAGAAAAGAAATCACCACTTACTGCTCCAATATAAACATCCCCCACCAAAGACCACCACTCTGCTCCTCCTCCTCCACCCCGTTCATAGCAACAGCAACATCAAGATCAACATCCCCCCCTCCCCTCCTCCTCCCTCTCTCTCCCTCCGCCACCTGCGCCGGCCTGATCCCCAGCACGCGCGCCGTAACGACAGCCTGGCTCAGCGTGCGGTACGCCGTAAGCGCGTCCCCGTGCCCGTACTCGTACAGCGCGACCAGCGCGCCGCACTGCACCACCTCGACGTCCGGGCGCGGGTCCCCCGCGCACGCCAGCAGCAGCGACGACAGCAGCCGCTTTACCGTCCGGTACGTCTCGTCGAAGATGGGCTGCGGGCCCGCGTCCGTGATCCGCATCCGCGTCAGCAGGTACATGGCGGCGACGAGGAGCGCGGCCGTCTTGGCGGGCCGGTCTAAGTTGAGATTGGGATTGGGATTGGGATTGGGATTGGGATTGGGATTGGGATTGGAGTGAAAGTTGGAGTGAGAGTTGGAGTGTTCGGGCGTGTCGGACCCGTCCGTCAGCGCGGCGAGGCTCGCGACTTGGTGCTCGAAGAGCGTCGGGTGGATGACGGCGTACCACGAGTGTATGCACAGGAAGTACATGTTGACGACGGCGCGCCAGTCGACCTGCTGCCCCGACCCGGGCGATATCAGCGAGAGGATCTGCGCGGCGGTGATCCCCTCCAGGGGCTCCGCGCCGCGCAGCAGGGCGTCGTGCGATAGCGAGTGCGGCTGGTAGATTACTAGCTGTGCGCCCTGCGGGATCACGTTGTTGGATATGTCGTGGATGTAGTGGCATTTAGCGTTGAGTCTGCGAGCGTGGTTAGCTTCTGTCTGTCAGTGTTTTCTGTATAAACCCCAATATCAATTTCAAAATGTCATCTTTGTGGCGCTGTTAAGCTAAGAGATATTTTACGAATTCGACGAGAAGTTTGTTCAATTTGATAATATGTTAGGTTAGGCTGGGATGTCTTCCTCTGGGATAAAAGAAAAGAGTCAAGAATATAATAGTAGGAGTAATATGACGATGTATATGGCCTTACCTCTTACACCTATCGCAGAAAGGCAGCTTCTTATCACATTTTCGTTTAGACGCACGGCACTTCTCACACGCGCGCGCGGCCAGGCCGCCTAGGGCCGACGCTTCTATAGTGCCGTACGCGGGCGAGCCCTGGAAGCACTGTCGCTTGGGGGAGGGCCCGGGAGACGATTCCGGCGTCGTCTCGGACATGGGCGAGAGCCCGTTCGGAACCTGTGTCGTCTGCATGTCGGCGGACGTGTGGTGCGCAGGCCTTCAGGCACCTTGCGCATTTGGTATGTATACCTATTTCTCGGGAGTACCCTGGCCTGGCCTGGCCTGGCCTAGTAAGAGGCCCGGGTAAGAGAGAGAGAGAGAGAGAGAGAGAGAGAGAGCAGAGTCTCTAACCGTCTAGCTGCTGTTGCCACTGCTACACCAAGGATCGGGGTTGTTGTGCATTTCCCCCCCTTCCTCGGGTGCTTGCTGATGTCGCTTGACTAATGCGTCGGACGACCTAAGGCTGACCGGCTGTAGAAGATGGGTGGTGTATAAGGCGTGTCTCGGATAGTTGCAGCCTTACAAAACCAATGATGTAATATGTTGATATAAGCCCCGACTATGTATTTACTCGCGGCACCGAGTTGAGTCTCCGCGGAGAATAAGATTTCTGGCCGTCGAAAGAAGAATAAAAAAAAAACAAAGCTGACTTGCCTCCCGTCGGTGATTATCTAAGGTAATGATATTATAAGTCAGTGGACTCGTCGCCGTTTTTGCCTGTGTTTAGTTGCAAGTCGGCTGTTGATTCGCCCCTTTGGAACTAACCGGATGATCGACAGGTCGAGCTGAGAAGAAGAATGAAAGCAGCGGACAGGGATTGGCCAAGGAGAAGCTTTTGGTAGCACAAAGTACGTATATACATACAATACAAGGGGGGAGGGGATATCGAATAAGAAAAAGAGTAGTGTATGTGTGTATGTAATGTAGAATCTAGGATAGAGAATGTGATGTGTAATGTAATGTAATGTAAAGTAATACAATTTCAACTCTGTTTCTGTTTCTGTCTCTGTTAGTTGCTAGTTCTTCTCTCTTACCATCCAATCGGCCAAGTTCCAGTCCCGAATCCTAAGTCCGAAGAAGACTCAATAATAGAACGACAATCCGCGCTAAGAGTTAACGATTCAGTTCTGCCCCGGCGAAATTCATCTAGTAGCGCCTTTACACTGGTCTACCCTTCTCCAGCTTCGAAGGCCTAAATACCGAGGCTTACAAACCCCCCCTTCCCCACAGACCTTCTAGGGACGGATGGAATTGTTCTGCAGCAGTCATAAGTGCGATATTACCTTGTCACCGCGAGCTAACTATAAATAGCTTAGGCTAGGTAGTTAATATAGGCGATAATAATAACGAATATCTACCTAATAATTATGTATAAGCTGATTACCTACGTATATCTTAAGCTTGGCTTTTAACGTTATTACTGTTAGCCTCAGCTCTAATACATACCTACCTACACGAGCTTATTAATTCTCGCATCTTACCAATAGGGAAAAAAAGACGGCAATGATACCTACCTAATGCGAGGCTGAAAAAAAAAAGAACGAGAACGAGAAAAAAAAAAAGATAGCGAATGACCATGTAGCGGCGTCACAAAGCCGTCAAGGTGCATAAAAGGTCCGATACAAGCTAGGAGCTGTCATCGGCGCGATCAGAATTCGCCATTGGCCGCTGAGCCAATATACATACTTTCCCTCCCACCGTCCTTAGGTGAAGTAAGACGGTCTTCTCTATTGCGATTTGTTCGTTTGGGAATGTTCGCGTCAAAAAGCGGTCGGGAATATGTAAACTTGTAATGTTCTTGTCTTGTCTTCGCCGAAAAAAAAAAAAAAAAAAAAAAGGGATCCAAGGTGTGGGAGGGACGGATGGATGGGTATCGCATTTTCGCTACGATTCTCAAGGATATGAAATGCTAGCTTGGTACAAGCCCCACAATCTCAAGATCGTTGCTTGACCTCCTTGATACATACATAGTAAAATACCTCTCTTCCTTGAATATTTATATAGAAATATTCGCGTTATACTTTATACCTCTTAAAATACCAAATAGCCTTAACCAATAGACTGTAAAATATCTCGCAAGCATTTTAACCAATTAACATTTAAAAGCTTTATACCGTTCAAGTGATCTAGTCAGTAACCAGTCGAGGTTTCTCGAATTTTAACTCGTGGGGCTTGTATAAAACTACTATGTAACATCTCAGATCCTTGAGGGTTGTACATTAGGTTAGGTACATACTAACGCTAGAAACAAGGAGGCGAATCACCCAATGAGGCTCTAGAAAGGTCCCACTCTGACGGGTCCGGCCCCAACAGAATTCCCATGTGCTAGTGGAGACGGGTGACCGTTGCTTCGCCTAGTCTCGTCGGCGTTAAGAGGATGTCGGAATGTCGGAATGTCAAGCTGAGGCTGATTATTTAGTATACCTAAATAGGTATTATAACTATGAGCAAGTTTCCATTCACTGCTCTATCCCACTACGGAATACTATTAATAAATCCCAAAAACACAACAAGGTAGCACCTTGTATGCCGAAATCTACATAGGCCGTAAACATGCAACTCCAAGAACCCTTCGAATACCCATATAATCTAGGTTAGCAATGTACCCAAGGTAATACGGGTCGTCGTAATCGTCACCCATTTACCTTTGCCACCGTAATAGTTACTGAACCGCCCACCCGATAAGTACATACAAAGTTCCAACCATGCATCCCACCCATTCGAGTATGTAGTGTATAAGCTCTCGCAAGCATGCCTCCACTCGACCGACCAGGTTCAACCCGGCTTCAATCTTCTCCCACAAGTAGGTAAGCCTTAAGGTATGCAGTTGTAATCACCATAAGCCATAAAACATTCAGCTACAATTCCCTCGTGCCCGCCTCATACACCATGCCCAATATTACCCATTTCCCCTTTCCTCTTTCCCTTTACCCATCAGATCGTCAACGTTCCATTCAGCGGCAAATCTCTGCTGCTCCCACCGACGAATATCCCGTACTCGCCCGGCTGTAGGTGCCACTTCTGCGCGACCACGTCCCAGACGCTGAGGTCGCGCCTCGTGACGAGGAATGTAGCCGTAGCCTCCATCGTCGCGTTGAGGAACGCCTTTTCGAAGCCACGTAGCTGACGCACCGGCGCGTTCGGGATCCCAACGTACAGCTGAGCGACCTCGCCGCCGTATACGTCGCCTACGTTCTTTATGTCCGCACTAATCGATGCTACCACATCCCAAAGATCTACCTGCCCGCCCTCGCGGATGGCCCCTGTCGGATATTCATCCGTGTTAGCATCGTCGTGCTTTTCGATCTTTAAATTCGAGTAGTTGAACGTCGTGTAGCTTAGTCCGAAACCAAACTCGTATCGCGGTGTGATATTCTTCAGATCGAAGTGTCGGTAATCGATATACACGCCTTCGCTAAAGTTCGATTGAGGGAAATGCTCGAATTGATCCAGGGGCAAGTCTGGTTTGGCAACATGTTCATAATCAGACTCATTCTTGGCTACCGTGTACGGTAGCTTGCCCGATGGGTTTGACTCTCCATATAACAAGGAGACAAGAGCACGGCCAGACGCCTCACCGGGTAGGTGCGCGAATATCAAAGCCGTTACGTTCGGGTGGTCGATCCACTGATCCACCAACCGGACGCCGGCATTATGAAAGATGACGATCGTATTATTGCACCGATCCGCCACATGTCGAATCAAGCCGTCAGTATAATCGTCCCGTAAGTTCGGACGATCATACCCTTCGCTTGCGAACGCATTGACAATAACGAGACATGCATCCGACGTGCTAGCAACATCCGGATCGGGACTAAAGAAGTCCCAAAATACAGCCGTCCGGTCATCCCACGCGCGAGCGTTGAGAGCGTCGTACGGCGAGCTAACGAAAGCTGGCGTCACGGCACCGGAACCACCACCACAGAACAGCGTCCCATTAGGAGCAATGTCCGAAAAATCTTCATAGTAGTGGCCCGAGAAACCGGCACTTGTGTCGCGCCCAAGATAGGATGATTCGCCTCCGAAAGTCCACGCGGCAACACCGCCGTTAGATTTGTAGTTCCACTGGTCGGGACTCTTTGCCGAGTAACCGAATACCGAGAGCATTCTCGGTTTCCTTAGTGGAAGTGCGTTCTTGATATTCTTGACTAAAACGTGACCTTCAATAGCACCATCTAGTAGAACTTTCTGAGACGAGATATTTCTCGCGTCGACGATGTCGTGCGGCTGGGTTAGGTCTACAGGCATACCGATTCCCGGCTCTGGGAAGTCCTTGTCCTGTCCTACCTGATAGTACCCAGCCATGATTCGCGTTGCCATGTCATCTAAGCGATCCTCAGAAACTGATCCATTTCTAACTGCCTCCGTTAGCTTGTCTCCCCAGAGCTTCGAACTTGGCATGACCATGTCCATTCCAGAGTTGGCCGATGCAACACCAGCATGAAGAGCATCCCAGTCCGAAGTAATGGCTCCCTGGAATCCCAGCTCCGTTTTGAGGAGGCCATTTTGGGTTTTGCTGTTCGCGCAAGCGTAGGAGTTATTCACTCGGTTGTACGAGCACATTACGTTCGCAGTCCCGGCCTTGACAGCATCTTGGAACGGCCTGTAACTAAGTTAACTAGTGTAGCATAGAAGGAGGTTTTAGTCTATCAAAATACCATAAATACAGCTCGTGTATTGTCTTATCATCGATGTTAGATGAGACGGATTCAGTGTCACCAGTAGGCTGTCGGTTCGTTTCTTGTTCGTTGCCGATGAAATGCTACGTACCGAATAAGTGTAAGTCCTCTGGTAGTTAAAGCTACTCATACCTTGGTACTTGTGATGACCCCCTGCGACTGAATTCCCGTTACCGTCTCTGATACAAGGCTGCCGGTGAGATAGGGGTCAGGAGAAAAGCCTTCCCAATTGCGTCCGCCACGTACTACGCGTCCGATAGGACCAACTACGGGTCCGAGGTGGATGTTGACGCCCTTGACTCTAAACTCAAGGCCTATGCTCTCTGCACGGTCCCGAGCCAAACCCTTGTTCCAACTGGCAGCAACATGGAGACCGCTCGGAAAACCACTGACAAAGTCCGTAGCTCTGACACCCTGGCCGGCATCGTTTAGACAGAAGCCCGAGAAGTTCATACGGGGAATGGCGTCGATATTGCCAGAGCAGCCGTTTAATGTTCCCGAGCTGCCCGTAGAAGAGGAGAGTCCTGATGCAAGGATTACCTAGCATCGAATTAGCCATGCGTGCTAGGTTCGGTAGGTAACGAAATACCTTCTCCTCGATCGTAAGCTGCCCAACAAAGTCGAGAGCTTTTTGGTATGCATCGGCCCAAGCGCCAACTCCCGTCATCGCGGCTAGTCGTCATATTAGATACTCCATCTAGCGTATGGTAGACCGGAATTTTATTATGAGTATACTCACGAGAGGGGTATACCGGCTCGGACTGGCCGTAGAAATAAGTATCATCGGTGATAAGAGCTTGGCCGCTAGACGCCGCAGCAGCTCCGTCACCACTATCGCCATGTCGATTTCGCAGGGCGAGAAGTCCTAAGAGACCGAATAAAGGCAATACCATGAGACCAACAACGAGGGCGACACCGCGCTTCTTCTGCAGTATAGGAAAGCGCTGCTGCATTCTAGCCCACCACGAGGTCTGGTCTAGGGGCAATACCTGACCCTGCGACAGCGGTTGGCGTTCCTGCTTTATTTCTGCCATCGTATGTATGCTCGGCTAATTATCCGTCATCTGGTGAAGGTGTATCAAAAACAACCAATTACAGAGCCGTACAAGGAGTAGTTAACTCGTCATATACACTCCTTTTCAGGAAGATTGGCCAATAACTGGGGAACCTTGCGAATACCTATTATTCGCAAAGGCAAGAAGGAAGACTAAACCTTCAAAGGACCGTTACCCTCGATATATAACCCAGACTCAAGGCGGGTGGCCCTATGTCGGAGTTCTTCTAACTCTAATACCGGACGTCTATTTCGTGATCTGAGCTTGGAACGAGAAAAACAACAAAACTGGTACAATGAGCTCTAATGAACAGGCGAATGCGACGGTCAATAAAAAAAATAACGGGGTATTCATTAAATATTATCAATTCCGTAGTCAGAGGTGCATCCGAGCAACAAGCGAATGTGTAGTTGAGTAGGTTTTTCGAACTCTTAAGGTTGCACGCGCTCTCTCCTCGGCCACAAACAAGTTGGGTTATACTCGGTTTACATACTATGGTATCTGACGATCGTCGTTGAACAACAGGCTGATGTCAATACTGATAGGTACGGATGGGGGATCATAGCAACCCGTTTGCTTGTTGTTTCCTTGTTGCCGGGTTGATCGTTATTTGGAGATGTTTGGGGCTTCCCTGATTGGTCAATTGTCTATGGTTAATTACGTCCCAAGACATATTACATAGTTCGTCGGGCAGGTACCGTCGCTCGTCGCTTAACGCTTAACGCTTAACGCTTAACGCTTAACGCTTAACGCTTAACGCTTAACGCTTAACGCTTAACAGCTTCGACGGCTCGACCCTGACTAACTCATTTCGGCATTGGGAATTGCGCTTTCCCCCACGTGCCATAAACCTTGGCCAAGCTGCCAGGTGTCAGGTGCCAGGTGCCTCATGCCGCGCGAATGAAATTCCGCATATGGAAACCTGCCTCAAGCTGCATGGATGTTGATCTGCATTCGATCGTTACCGGCATATTAACGTTTAAAAATATTCATAAATTTCTTATAACTGAGAATACGAACTATACGAAGTTGTTAGAGCAACGAGTAAAAGTGTAAGAACTGGCGGTCTTCGGTATGTTAAAATAAAAGCTTCACTTACATGCGGGCATGTCATACAAGTACGATATATGCGTTTATTTGGGCTATTAAGAGGATGCATTTTATATTTCACGTGTAAGTGCTACTAAGAGATACGTACTATGTCATTAGATTCCAGCCAAGTTTACCGAACCTCTAAATAAGGTCCGCCGCCGCGAACCATGATCGTGAAACAGGCTTGTGTGCTACTAAAAATGTCGATATGCACGATTCCGGAACCTACCTAGGTAGGTACACATATTTCTACCTACCTTCAGCTTAGGCTTTATATCTTTCCTATAAAGGACTTCTCGAGCCCCCATTCATACCACTTCACATATTTTAACACAAACTTCGAGTTACGCTTCTGCTCCAGCTCCGGCTTCGGCTAATGCTTAATATTTTGATCAACTATTTGATCCGCCCAAATCTAACTGTATATACGAGTAATGGCTATCATGCCAAACTTCTTCCCGTTCGCTAAGTCTGCAAAAGTAACCTCCAATTCGAAAAAAAATAACAACGTGGTATCCAGTGTCATAACTAAAGGAATCGTATCAATCAGGGAGAGTTTGTAATCGTCCAATGCGGATATAACGCCGACCCAAGAGAACGCCCAGTGGGCTAGTATTCGTATCAATTCCGTCCGTCGGTGCCCTAAGGAGTCGCAACGTCGCAATCTACATTCTTGACGAATAGAGGAACCGTTTCATCCGAATACGCAAACGTCCTCTTGGTCAGCCAATAATTGAAGTAAATCTCGGTCTATGGTAGCGGGTCGTGGGCCGCAACGCGTTCGCGTTCGCGATGGCGATGGCATTACACTGCGGAGACCAGGCCGCATCGTGACATCGTAAGTAGTAATCGTACGGCTATGTAAACAAGCGCGGAATAGGTGCTATATACTTCGGAAAGTTCAGTCGGAATGCTACCCTATGCGTCGCAATACGATAAAGCGAAATCGCTAGCCAACTTAGTGACCACTGGGAACTTGTGGTATGGCTAGTTTCGGTTTCGCGAAAGAAGATTCGGATGTACAGAAGCAAGCGACTCACAGTATCAACTGCTTCAGATTGCGCTGGATGATCATGTCCTGCACTGAGCCCATTGTGATTTTAAGCAAGTTTGTATCCGTCGCGTTGGTAAAGTGACCATAAATTTCCTTCTCTGGGTTACGGTTCAGAGCCCTAAATTTATCCATGAAGTACTTGCTTGCTTGCTTGTAATCGTCCGCCGGGCCTTGGTAGTCGACAAAGCCATGTGACGTTATAGGACTCGACGCGATCTTCTCCTTAAAAAGATCCATCTTATTAAGGAAGAGGATAAGGGCCGACTTGGTGAACCAATGCGAGTTTGCAATGGATTCCCAAAGCATCAAGGCTTCGTTCATTTGGTTCTAAAATCGCATATGTTAGCAGGCTTATTTACAATGGCAAAAAGTCATAAGTCTTAAGGGATAGTATGTACTTACGCCGTCCTTATCCTCAACCAGACATTGATCGTAACCGCTGATCGCGACCAGGAATAGTAGAACATTGACATTCTCGAAACAATGAATCCACTTCTTCCGCTCCGATCTTTGACCTCCCACGTCGAACATTCGGTATGTCAGCTGGCCCAAATCGAAGATGGTCTCGGTAATGCCTGTCGTCCTCAAACGTGATCGCAGCAGATCTTGGTCGGTGGGGATATATTCAGCTGCCCAGAGGCGGTCTGCATCTTCGCAGAAGCTTTTAAGACGTGTTAGCAAGGTCATGTCAACGGTGTCAACGGACGCACTATGATAGATTGTCGTGGAGAGCATATTCGTTGCCCTTTTGGATGGCCTTTTGTACTCCATTATCGCCCCAAAGGGCTTTGACCGGCTCGAGGTATTCCTGGGGAAGCGAATCGTGAGGCGAAATTTCAACGTCAACAAGGAGTAGTGCTTGGTTTTTCTGACAATAACACGACATTAGTAATCGACGTTTACAATGACATCTCATTGCGATGGCCTCGTCTCAGAAGACCCCGGTGAAATATTCTTGCGCATTCGAAATAAGTTCATGTATCACATACCTCGTTGTCTTTGTTTTCATATTCGATGGAATAGTCGGCCATGGCATCGAATATTATGCGCATCGACTGGATGATATTGCTGAACACGACGGGCTTCCATTCTAACTTTTCCGTTTTGCTGAAGCCTTGCGCGTAAATCAACTTCATCTGCTTGAGCACAGTTGACTTTCCCGACTCGCCGGCACCTATTAAAAAGTCCCGAAGTTAGCTGCGGTGTCCCGCTAGCCGAGACACGAATACTGGCGATTTCCAAGGAGAGACACTAGGTACGTACCTAAAAGAAGCAACTTAACTTCTCGTGCCATGCGCTTCTCATCTTGTCGGATAATCTTGTCGAGCTCCCGTGACCGAGTATTGCCCTCCTCATCCTTTTTGCGACTGCCGAAACACATGATGAATAAGGCTTACGCGTGTATGTCGAGTATTATCTGATCTTAGGAATATGTAGTGGGTAGTCGCGTATTCATGCGGAAAGGCGAAAGGTAAACGGATTCTTGCGTAATATACAAGAGAGCCTCACAGCGACTATGAACATACACAGCCCTGTGAGAAGATGAAAAAGAAAAGGAGAAAAATTGGATGACGACTACAGAACCACAGCTTCGTGATGGCGTGGTAAGGCTAGCTCGGGGCTTGAATGAAACGACTCAGTGATGGCCTGTGGGGGGCTTGAGCTGACGGCGCAAATCCAGCTCGCAGTCGGTTACGATCTAGAAATAATCCGGCGGGAATATCGAAACGTTATTACGACTTAAGAGCTTTTTCGCGCCTTTAAGGCTCTCCCTACAGCTCAATGGGAAGATGGAACAAAGAAAAATTGGACAGCAAGCTGGGCTGGCTATGTCGGTAGTTTTAGTTGCTTCGAGTCTCCGGGGACGATCAGACCAAGAAAAGATAATCCTTGTCGAGTAGCCAGGGTATGGAGGGAGGCTCGAGCGAACTCGAGAAAGAGAAGGGGGAAGAAAGAGACGGGAAAGCTTCCAAATAATAAAAATAACGACGGGTAGGACCTGAGTGATAAATAATACGGCCTGTCAGCAAGATATGTCAGTATTCTTTTTTTTCCTTCTTACTACAGCATCCGCCCTTGTTCTCCAGTTCAGGCGGGCTACATGTATGTTTGTATGTATGTTGTACTTCTTGACCAGGACCAATAAGCGGAAAAGGAGGGGGGTAAGAAACCAGAAATTGGCGAAGAGAGATAGGAGTCATATGTATGTACATAGAGCGGTACCGTACATATTACATTGATTTATAAATATTCCATCCACGTACCTTTTAAAAATTCGAGGGTCTAGATATTAGTAAATTCGCACGAACGTTGAGAGTAGATCTTGACCAGTATAGTTCAAAATATCAATGACTCTCTTATATCATATTCGGGGTTGTAACTCTGATTAAATATTAAATCTGCGGGTATATCAATGAGAGGAATGACAATAATAACATCCAATAGGAGGATATGGGATGACGGTTCGCGTAGGCGATGATGGAAGCTTAAAAAAAGACTTGGAGAAGTAATTTGCTACTAATATTGATGGCTGCTGTTTAGTACTGCGTAATCCAAGTTAGCGTCGAACTTCAATTGTTCAAATGATGCTAGTAGCTTAGATAGGTACCTTTGCCGGTTTACTGGGCAGTTTTGAATAGGAGTGTACCTTGCAGAGTGGAGTTGAGAGTCCTCGAAACGCAAGTTGGGGCTAATTCAAGGTCCTCTTTCCAGGGATAGGCTGATTAAATTTGTAGTGAGCAATGAGCTATATCCACCGACTGTCCACCGCGGAATCTCCTTGAAGAAGATACGACGTACGCAAAGTACCTTATGTACCTTCGTATCTCCTGTACAACCAAATATACTTATATTAGGTACATGTACGGATTACAAGCTAACCTTACACAACCACGCGACTACATCCTAGCTTACCTTGGTACCTAACGTACCCCCATAGCGCCTGGTTTACTTATTAATGACCTACCTACCTGTTAACCTACATATATATACTGTATCAGTGTATCGATGTATTTACATACACACTTAGAGCCAAGTCTCGTCAACTAACGTACAGCTGAAAATTGCAACCTTCTTCTTACTGATATGTATTCGTACCTTATATATTTAGGTTTGTGATCATAAAGTGTATTAACAATACCTAATGAAGATATGGAGTCGGGACGGATATTAAGACTGATTTGATCGCTGGACATGACATCTAATTAGGTTAGTACTTCGTAGCGTCCGAATCATTACTTAGCTTCAATATTAAAGCCGAGCCGACTATAAACTAATACTTTTACAGTTTCTCTATTTTCTCTACCTAATTTTCCCCATCTCCAAATGGCAAACAGAGACAAGGGAGCATGTTGAGCATGTTCGGCATGAAAAAGCATTTCAAGGCTAATAGGTAATAGTAAATAAGACAAATTACAACTACACTAGCCAACGATACAGCGGGACTATCACACATGCGTACAGACGTACATAATAACTATACCTAGGTTAGATCTTTCAAACTCCGCAACGAACACGCCATACTCGGATGCAAGGATCAAGAAATACATAAGTATAGGGAGAACAGGGAGAACAGGCGCCGCACGTAGGGTTCGCAGCCCGAGACGCTACTATTTTTTATTATAGCGGTACTACAACAAGTACAACAAGTATCAATGCAGCCAAGAACAATGTTATTCTCTGGTTGGTTCTTTCATACGTATGCAACGCGTGCGAGTACTTATATTAGCACAGATTACGGATTACGGTAGCATCACCACTACTCTCGTCGATTCCATACACCCACGCTAAATCAGACATCAGCCAGTGGCTATGTATGCTGATGTATGCGATATATGTATGCGCTGCCTACGATGGGTGTCATCAATCTCGATTGGTGTGAGTGCCACTTCTCAATGCCATGTGCCGTCAGCCTCTCAAGGTTACTCGCCTAATAGCCGGACTGTTCGTCCGTCACTGCCCTGTAACCTTAAGTATGATGCTGTCACGTCGGCCACACTGACGATACATAGAAGAAGAAGAAGCGTAAAGCGCAGTTCGCAGCTCGCAGCTCGCAGCTCGATTTATGGATACCGGCTTGCCTGGATTCCGGAGATATTGCTACCACCTGAGGAACACACCTAAGGAAGACGCAACCCTAATGTCAGTATGATACTCATAATAGCAATACCCTTCTTAGTAGATCTATATGCTGATGGCCGATTCATTCAACTACATACATACGTAATACATAAAAACATAGTACCCATTTACACGAGGCGAGTCATCAATGTTCCGTTAGACTTGGGGGAAACTGATCAGTAATTACCGGGCGTAACATGGGCCTCGGTACAGACGTATTTATGAGCGAATAGCGGTTTTTCGTATCTCCCACGCTTCCATGCTCTCTCCCATGCTCTTCCATGCTTACAATTTATCTGTAGCACTCATGCCCACCAATCGGCACCAACCCCCCTTCTCAATCGATTTGAGGTATCCAATGCTTAACTGATAGCTCTTAATCCGGACTGGGGCTTAGTCGGGCAACCAGGGCAACCTAAGAGCATTTAAGTTACATACATGCAACTAGTATGTCAACACCCGCATGTCATCTGAAGAGAAACAAGAGAGAAAAACGTGGCGAGAAGTGGAGCACACACAAGCATCTACAAGCAGCGTTCATTCTAACAATCCGATGAGGAATAGCTCCATGGACCTGTGTCACCCTTAATCTAGGACATGCTGGATATGCTGGATATGCTGGATATGCTGGAACCGATGTCTTTAAAAGCCCACAAGTCTTCCTTCCGCGCGATGCGGGTGGGAAATTTTTGAATGATCGACATACCGACATCCATCCTTAACCATAAGACCATAAGGCCATAAGATCATAAGCTTAGCTTCCGTGCTACGATAATACATACCTAGGTTTCGGCGTTCTAACTAGTAAATAACATCATGAGCCATCAATCAGCTTTGGAAATTACCATGCTCTACGTCCTATCAGCCAGATCTACGAAGATATAAGTTATACATAAAACACCTAGCAGGTCGCTTAAAAGGTTTTACCAGAAGGATCTAATCTACTACCTACATACCTATACGCATGCAGCAGCGAGGCTCGGTGGATCTTCCAGTTACTATCGTTAGCCAACCATGTGAGCAAAATTTATGGTCCCGACATTGAGCTTTTCTATCGTGGGGCGTATATTTCGGGAGACTCTAACGGGAGCCTGACCGAAAAGGAATTTATACCAAGTCAAATCCGTCATCAGACAATGTGACCCCGCGTCTTCGAGCCAGCCATCTACATCCTAATAAGGAAACATCAAGATACTGCATATACAACTTGACACATTTGACGCCTTGTAGCCCAGCGCAACTGGCCCTGAGCTACTACTGGAATCTGGAATTAACGGTGAACATTTCCACGGCCTTCTGGTAAGCCGGGAGGTTTCATGATTGTCTTACATGACTATCTACAACCCAAAATGTATTAGCTACGGTGGTCTCACTGCTGTCTCTCTTTGTGCCGTCATCTCACCGAAGATGATAAAAACCAAAGAGATCTCCAAGCCACACCCCCCCAAGTCGACGAATAAGGAGATACTGTCATCTCACCCCGAAAACAACCCACCGTCACTACGACGATAACCTACTCTCGAAGGATTCGAGCTTTGCCCTCCTCTACTACCGTATGTATACTAGGAGTACCCATCGTGACTATTATTGGCCAAGGACGCCGCGCGAAGTTACCGTAGTGGCCCCCAGGATATCGAGTAGTGCCACACTCCCGCATACCAACCATCGTCTCCAAATACGACCATCCTTACGGTTGAGATAGCACAGGTCAGAAGAGTCTGGGATCATCCAATGGTCTTTTTCGGCCCGTCAAGGTCTCCTCAGGGCCGGGGTTGATCCTGTAGGAGACCCAAAGCAATGAAGCTGTTGGGCTAGAAATAACAGATATACGATGGTATCGGATTTGCAAATGCATCTGGCGGAAAAATGTAACTTGACAAAATAGAGTTGCGCCATCTCCCGCACGTCTGTGCGTGGAATCTCCATGGGATCTCGAGCAGGCTGCGAGCAAGCGGATCTAAAAAGCCCAGCCCGGGAGTTAGCGGGGGCCAGGTCCATCCAACGGACCCCAACGGCATAACGGCATACCCAGTCGATCGCTTGCTCGCTCGCTTGCCCGCTTGCTTTAACTACCTTCCGCTATAGTAGGTATTGTACGAGGAACGAAAGGTAGGGAAATGCCATTTGATACTATGTAAAACATGCCAGCCCTAGCGGTGGCCAACTGATTTGCAGCGTCTGATTTGCAGCGTCTGTCTCGTCTTTAAACTACTGTCTACCGTGTAGCCAGCCTAAGATGCTATATGTAAGCTTACGGCCCCCCCCTCCACGCGATAGCCAAGACTATTGCGTAGGAGAGGATTCTCCCCCAGAGGACGCTAATGATACGGCACGGCACGGCACTGGCGCTGGCGCTGGCGTTGAGTAGGAATAATACCTAGGTAGTGTTCGTACCTAACCTACCGCTACTACTTCTACTATATAAGCACTTAGTCGCACACTCATATGCAAATATTAGGTAGGTAGTTGACACATCGTTGACACATCGGTGCACTGCATACGGGCAAAAGCAAGCAGTGGCCTTAGGTATATTCTATCGCCCGACCCACACGCCACGAGGGAGCCCGGTGGCGTTCGCGACGGGACATTTATAAGATGCCTTGCCCCAAGGCAAGATAAAGCAGATGAGTAGGTAGGTAGGTATATACCTAGGTACCAACTTACTTGTATATGACGATGTAGGTGCTCCATCGCCATGTATAGGCGGCTAAGCGCCCGTCCGCCGTTGCAGGATCGACGGCGATACAACTTACCCGCTCGCCTAGCAGCTAACCTAGCGAGCTGGGTAGGTAGGTAGCTAAGCTATGTAAGCTTCCCGGCACCTGCATACCGACGTCCCGGGCTGCCTGTTGCTTGTTCTGCTTAGTACGCATCGCCCAGGGCTCCCTGGACGTTGGTTGCTATAATGTAGGTAGGTACCTACCTAGCTTATAGTGTAGGTATATATATATCTGGGTTAGGAGGCATGTGTGTACCAATGTACGCCGACATAGATCCCAGGCGCGTATGTGCGATAAGATCGCATATGCTAGGTTAGATTAGGAGGTACTTAGCCTAGATAGGTGGGTATGTATACCTAAGTGAGTATCGACGGTACGGCACTGAGCCACGATCACGGGTACTAACACGCAGATTAAGCGCCGGGGAAAGGGCAGGGGTGGTGCGTGGGTGGGTAGATGGAATATATATATATAGCTATAGATAGATATATATATGTGGGATACGTAATAGATATAGATACCTACCTATATATATATATATATACCGCGTAGTAGTAGCTTGGTAAATTACAATACGACTACCTTCTCGCTCTTTAAGCCTTACGTACGTCCTATCGTAGTGCGTGCGTGGTGCGTGGTACGTGGTGTCGTGATGTGGTATGTTCGATCCCGTTCTATGGTATTGTGTTCTGTTGTATCACTGCTTCCCACGTTGAAGGTCAAGGGACGTGTTGTGTAGCCCAGCCTGCCTCAGCTGAGAGCTAGCTTGTTGATGTATAATGCAGGTGCACATAGGTAGGTATATATACAGTAGCTACCGTCCCCATATAGGTTAGGTAGGTATATATCGTGCTACTGCTAAGTGTGTTCTAGACTTCGTCTTGTTACCTAGTAGTAGTAGTAGTAGTAGTAGTAGTAGTAGTAGTAGTAGTAGTATACCTTATATATACGCCTGTACGTGCCTGGAATAAGGGATGTATCAGAGATTGCCATGCTGCCCTTGCAGCGTATTATGTTGGGGCCATAATTTAGTTATTTTACATAGACAGATAGGTAGATAGCTTGCTTGGGGTGTCTGCTAGTTTACTGATATATCACTTTCATACTTCCCTGCATATGTGTTTGTATTTCGTTGTGGGATAGGGACGAGAAGAGATATGTCAGTACCTGAAGTCAGGTTCTCTATGTGGCTTATATATATATATACCCCTAATATTGCCAGAACAAGATCGATGCTTAGATTCTCAACTCATTAAGAACCTAGCTTAAATAAGCACAACACTTGTCGTACACTTGCAGAATATTTCATAAGGGGTTTGAAGCAATATCATAGTTTGATTTGGATCCCGCCCTTTGGAGCCCTCTAGATAAGGAATAAATGAGAGGTATAAAATCAGCAACAAACTATGCCGAGAACAAATCTTCAGCGAATATTCATAAAAGTCTTCATCAGTTGGTCATAAGCCAGTCTATTCATTATAAACGGCTACCTATGGGCTCTTTAAGACTTAAACACGTTACTCGTGAGGCATTGAACTATCTCATGACCTTCATCGTCCGGGCCACTCGGTATCGTAGCCCAGCCCATCTAACCACCTTTTCACTTCCCTCGCGCTTTAACGCGTCTATTGGAGAGCCTTCGCGGCAAAGGTAGGCAGAACAAAGCTAGCCTTGTGGATCTCAGCATTGTAGTACTTGCACAGACGCTCCTCCTCCTCGGGGGACCAGGAGCGCAGGGGCTTCTTAACGTCGCGGCCCTCCTCCTTGCAGCACACCATGAAGCCAATCTGGCCTGATGGGTACGTCGGGATGGTGGTGTATGCGTACTCGGCCACGGGGAACACCTCTTTGCAGTCCTTCTTCAGCTTGGCGATGAGTGGTAGGTGGAGCCACTGGTTCTCAGCTGTGATACAGGGAAAGGGTTAGCGAGACATGTTTGTGGGAAAAACTAGGGGGTGAATTGTAGAAAAGAAAAAAAAGCAAAACGGGTGGGTAGGGGGAGAAAATAGGAAATTAGACTCGGATCTTAGCATAACAAAAGACCCGAACTGGAAGATAAAGGGGGGCGCTTGGGAGGATGGAGAAGGGGGGGAGACGGAGAGGCGAGAGAGAGAGATTTTGATGACACAGCTCAGCAGCAGCAGAGCCCACCACGGTCGACCATTCGTAGGAAGAAATTGGAGTTGTTTAAGAACAACCAGGCAACTTAAGTTCAGTGCCATTTGACCCGTCGCCACACTCTCGAACTTGTTTGCTTTGCCTGATATAAAGGAGACGTACAACCTTGGGTGGTGATGACGCCGCCGGGTCGAAGAGCACCGTGCAGCAACTGGAAGTACGACTTCTGGAAGAGGCTCTCGGCGGGACCCTCGGGGTCCGACGAGTCTGTGATGATTACGTCGAAGGCGTTCTTGTAATCGTCTAGGAACTTAAAGCCGTCCCCGACGTGCACCTTCACCTTGGGGTGCTTGAAGCCTTCGGCCATGCCGGGTAGGTATTGCTTGGAGAGGCGGATGACGGCCTTGATTTCACGTAGGGTTAGTTATGGGTATCCTATCCATGGTATTTGTGAGTGCTAGTATCAGCAGAGAAATAATACCTCGTCGATGTCGCAGAGGACAGCCTCCTCGATGCACTCGTGCTTGACAATCTCGCGTAGGACACCTCCGTCACCGCCGCCGATGACCAGCACCTTCTTGGGGTCGGGGTGGGAGTTCATAGCCAAGTGAGTGATCATCTCCTGGTAGGAGAACTCGTCACGCTCGGTGCACTGGATGACGTTGTCCAGGACCAAGACGGTACCGTAGTTGGTGGACTCGAAGATGAGCACATCCTGGTACTTGCTCTTCTCGTGGTGGAGGACCTTCTTCACCTTCAGAGTCATGGCCTGGCCTATAATGAAAACCCAGGATCCTCATTAGAACAAGTAACTAAAAGGGTCTTCTAGCTAGAAGGGAAGGTTTGTTGCCTTCACTCACCCGGCCACATCTCAGAGATTTCTCTGAACCAGCCATCTGCGAGATAGTTAGCAAAAGATAGACTTAACTAGATTTATAATGTAAATATTAAGAGAGTGAATTATGAAGGATAGTTATAAGACCAAGTCGTGTATACGATATCTATACGTAAAAGTGTAGATATCATGAACCTCAGATATGTTGCACAATCGCGATCAACACGATAAGAAAAAAAGGAGGGGGAGGGGCAGAGGGGATCCCGTTTATGATTGGCATGTGAATAACGTCAACTAGTCGACCAAACGGGAACTAAGCTGGTACTCATTGGACTTGTATAAGCAGCATATTCGTGACAAGAGAAATATAGAATAATATAGAAAATCTGCCCTCTGCTTCGCTTCACTCATGATGCATCGTTTGCAACTTAAACTTACCCTTAATGGTAGCGTGTGTGATCTCCTCAGAAGACATCTTGGACTGCGCAAAAGTCGAATAATACCGTTGGCGGGACGAGGAAAAAGATATATCGCTGCTGCAACGACAACGGCGAGGATCGAGGATATTTAAATATAAACGGTCGAAAACCGGCCCTATCGTCCTCTTCTTTTTATCGTAGGTCGGGAACTGCAATTGTCGAATCAACTTGCACGGCGAAAATATTTGCCTTCTCCAGATCATCTAAATGAAAATTTTCTGCGGTGAGATTTTTAAAAAAAAAACAAAACAAAAAAAACCAGTGATACATACGGATTATGTAAGTACCTTCTACAACACATGGGTATCGAAACGTTACTAGCCGAACTAAAGAAGGGAGGTACTGTGTACATATAATATACTTTAGAGTACCTTCTTTCCAAACTGTGATAGGGCAACTGCTTTGACTAGCACGTTGTACATGTACATGCACGTAACCTGTTCGTCTGCGCTGCACGAAATGCATCATGTGCGGCTAATAGGTAATATTTGAAACCTTCGGTAACTAGCCTAACTACCTAAACCTTCTTGGCCTTATTCCCTCTTCGTTGGGCGGAAACATGCTAGGTATTTAAAATCATCGTTGGGCAGCAGCTCCTAAACCACTAGTCACTTAGTACATAAGGGTAATATGAATATTCCCCGATACTATGACATCTACTATGACATCGTCACAAAATCCACCTGTCTGAGAAGGTCATAGACACATATAAACGAAACAAGAAGCAGATAAAGAAACAATCACGACGCCACGCATATTAAAACCCTGAAACCCTGAAGCCAGGTAAACATTGGTTGGTAAAAGCAATCATTTTTGCTTGATTAATACACACGCCGAAAATCCGTGTGACGCGGTGCCTCTTATACTCAAGGCGTCCCGAATGCTTTTTCAATCCTCGTCACAAGCATCAAAAACAATGCCAATATAAATGCTGTACTCTAATATACCCCCTTTTTCACCATGTACGCCCGTGTATTAAGTCATTTCGAATGAGGACAAATTCGTTACCAGACCCTTTCCATACCTAGTAGCAATCTTCTACTTCTTGTTCGCGCTCTTGTTTGCTTCCAATATACCAGCCAGCTGCTGCGCAGACTCTGGCTTTTTGACCTGCAGAACCCACGTTTCGAGACCAGATCCCTCGTCGTTTGCTGCTACAAAGTTGACCGTCTTCTCCTTGGCTTTATATTCGACGTCTGAGAGGATGGCTTTATTCATCGCGATGTGGCCTCTCGGCTCGGCACGTAGTAACACACGGACGGTCCCGCTTGTCTTGTTCTTAAGAATGCGTAGCGGTCCCACTCCCTGAGTTGACCATGGTGACTTCCTCTCCTCTTCATCGTCGCTGCCTTTAACTATCGGCACGAACTTGATAGCCTTGGCGCGCACTTCGTGCAAGATCATCTCGTCCTCCTCACCTGGCCCGCCATTGATGAGTGATATCTGCTCTTGTGGAGTTTCTTCGTCATCGTGCTGAGTCTGTGGCTCTGGTGTGCCGTTCACTGGAGTTGTACCTATGCTAGAGGGCGCAGGGAATGGTGAGTCTGAGCCTGTCAGTATATCATGTATACTTTGGTTATGAAAGTACTTACTGGTACCTGTAAAGTCACCGCCAGCCTGCAAGAAGCTCCCTGTACCTGAAAAGGACGATGTCGGTTTGGGAGCAAATGGATTCGAGATGTTCTGGTTTGGCGTTGCTTGAGTGAAGCTGAAGCTGGGGGCCCCGTTGCCCCCGTTGCCCCCATTAGAGGATCCTCCAAAGAGAGAGGCTCCCTGGTTAGCTGGAGCCGGGTTAGGTGTAGATGGTGCTTGTTGGCCAAAACTGAAGCTAAAGGAGGAGGATGGATTTGGTGCCGATGACTGGGCACCAAACGTTGGCGTTGATGGTGGTGCGCTCGAGGCAAAGGGGTTATTGAACGATTGTCCATTTCCCCCAGCGGAAAAAGTGAAACCGGAGCCGGAAGAGGCCGAAGTATCTTGGCCAAAAGTGAACGATGACGACCCGGTTGTGGGAGCTCCGAACTGAAGGTCAGGTTTCTTCAACTCGGTGTTATTGGACTGGCTACCATTGGTACTCGCACCGAATATCATCGCTGGCGTAGGTTGTGTGTTGCTGGGAGCCGGGGATTGGGCTCCAAAAGTGAAGGAGGCCGCCTTAGGGGGGGCACTGTTGAAAAGGGTTGACGGGTTAGAGGTCGTAGGCTCTGCCTTCTTCTCGGCAGGGACTGGGTTGGAGTTGAATGGATTACTCGTAGTTGAAGTATTGCCAAACAACGAGGATGCTGTTGTCGTGACGGGCTTCTTTTCCGCAGGCGTTGCTTCACCGTTCTTAGCGCCAAAAATGTTTGTCGAAGGGGCTGGATTACTTCCAAACAGCGAAGCTCCCATTGTGGTAGTTGGCTTGGATGCATCAGAGCTGAATAATGATTTAGACGCAGGCGTAGCAGGTGTAGCTTCTGGCTTTGAGGCACCGAATGTAAAGCTTGCTGATGATGGCTTGCTTGAAGAATCGAATAAGGACTTTGCGGTGTCAGAGCCATTGATTTTGTTATCACCCGCGCTGAATGATACCGAACTCGAAGAGCCACCGAACAAGTTTGATGCAGGTGCCTTTGTAGTGTTTCCAAAAAGTGATTGGCTGCTGGGGGCCCCATTCGCTTGGGATTCAGTCGCCTTCACGCTACTGCCAAACAACGATGCGGCCTGGGATGGAGTGGCCGTGCTGGTTGAAGCGCCGAAAAGAGGTGCGGGCTTTTTGGAGGTTGAAGGTGTCTCGCTGGCCTTTGACTCTGGAGCAACATCTGGATTACCCTTCTGCTGCTCCTTAGTAGTTGAAGAGCCAGTCTCATTTGCCTTCGCGGCATCTCCAAATAATGATTTAGTAGGAGCCGGACTGAACAAACTAGAGGTTGGGGTAGACTTTTGTGCCGAGAAGAGAGAGCTGGCAGTGCCGTTGGGCTTTATTGGAGATGAAACAGACGACGTGGTAGATGCGCCGAAGAGCGATGCTGTGCTTGGCTGGAAGGCTGGGTTGGCCGGAGCACTGGCTCCAAAGAGGGAAGCTGTCGATTTGGCTACCGTTGTAGCCTCTGGCTTGCTAGATTCGTTCGTGGATTCTGGATGAGAAATTGTTGCTGGAGGCTTAGTAGCACTGGATGACGGTGGGCCGAAGGATATCGGGGTTGTTGTCGCATTGAACGTAAAGTCACCCGGTTGCTTAGCAGGGGTCTTGCTCTGTTCCTTTTCAACGACAGGCTGCTTAGCTGGAACAATACCGCTTTCCTCTTCTTCATTAACTGTACCTCGAAGCGGTTGTCCATTAGACCCCATTTGAACTCGCCCGAAGAGACCTCCTTTAGAAGTGAGATCGCTGGACTTGGTCAGGCTACCAAAGATATTGGAAGCGGCAGTAGTGTTACTGGTGGAAAATAGAGCTGATCCGCTCTGGGTAGAAGGGGTGTTTGTGCCGGCACTACTAGCAACACTGGGCTGGGCACTCTGTGACGCCTCTTGGCTATCCGCTGCTTCTTCTTCCCCTTCCGACTCGGTTTCAGTGTCGCCGCCATCGACATTGCCATTCTCATTGCTGCTATTATTCGCAGAGCTTTCAGACAAATAGCTGAATATGTTACTAGTGCCTTTGGCTGGTACTGAACCAACCTTGTGTCCGGTAAGCACTGACCCAGTGGTGCTACTCTCTTCAACAGTCTCAACTGTCGCGGGTTTGAATATATTGGTAGATGCTGCGAACGGATTTGATTTGCCGTTCAGGTTGATGTTCTGGGATTCGCTCGGCTTCTGAGATCCAAAGGGGGCTAGGGGGGCCCTCTTGACGGGTGAAGTACTGCCACTCTGCGCCCTGTTGAGGATACTCTCAAACTTGGATTTGGCGGCGGTTGGGGTGGCCTTTTGTACTTTATTGGGTTGGTTCTCATCTGGTTCATCAGTTTCGTCAGCCTTACGCTTACTCTTCTTGAAGGGAGCAGGTCCCGTAAGAGCGGCTTCGGTCTGTTCTTGAGCAACATTGCGACGCTTATTCTGGTTGGCAGTAGATGCCATTAGGGCGTTATCCTTTGGCGCCAAATCATCCTCGGCCTTGCGCTTCGTCGACACGGCGCCCAAAGCCCCAGGACGACGATTACTCTGGACCGGAGTTGCCGGTACCGCTTTCTCCGCTTGCGGCTCCGGCTCCGGTAAGTTGTGGGCTGCTCTCCACCTCTTGAGCACCTCTTCCGATGGCTTCACGTTCTTGAATTCATACAGCCCGTATCGTAGCATGATTAATCCCCTGCTCTTCTCATATTCCTTCGCGAAGTTCATTATGTTCAGCTTCCAATCCTTCTTCGCAAAGATCTCATCAGCAGCGTATTTCAGTCTTCGCAAATCAAGGACACAGAAAAACTGTCGTCGCTGAAGGTCATCGAAGTTCGGGGGGCATTTATGGGCTAGGAACTGATCTGCGTAGATAGTACCTGTACGACTAGGATCATCCGGAACCTCTTTTGATAGAGCCGCGCCGGAGAGCTCGGGGTCGGGAGATGGTATTCTCATCTTGAAAGGCTCAGCTGAGGCTATACCATACATGCCGCCTTGGGTAGTTTTTTGGGGAAACTTGCGGCCGCCTGGGGTTGTCTTTGTTACATCCGCCGGTAAGCTAGGCGCAAATTTGATAGCACGGGAGGTTTGTGGAGTAGAAGTACGGAATAAATCGCGACCGTATGAGTTGGTCGTCGCTACCTTGCCCGTGAGATGCGAAGTACGCGCGGGAGATGGTCTATTCATGGGAACGAGTGACGATCGAAATCTGCTTGCTGAAACAGACCGGAAAGGTGTCGAGCCCTGTTGGCCCGGCGCGGGACGAGGTTTGAGAGGTGTGCTGGAATTCATTGTGTGCATAGATGGTTATCAAAGGATGTATATTTCCTAGATAACGCGTGATGGTTGAGGTTGTTGGAAAAGGAAAGAGAGCGTGTGCGATGGATGATAGACGCGTCGGGGGAGGATGAGAGGTCGATGTTGGGATTGCCTAGGCGACCGGCTGCGACGAAGCCGGATACGGGTTGACGAATAATGAGGTGGAATGAAGACTAAGGTAAATGTAGAAAAGCCTCAAAGGCAAGTCTCAAGGGATTCCAAAATATGTTGGCATGCGATAATTGAATCAAATGTGAATGGGTAAGTGAATTTTGTTTGATGGATGGCCGGCGATCCTGAACACCTTGACGACAACAAGGCTAGGAAGATTTTGATTCTGGAGAAGAAGTGACTGGGAGTGATGTTATTATTTGGGGTTCTAGGTCCGTGGCTGCCAGGGAAAAAATAAGGGTAAATTGGGTACGTACCTGAGCTATGACTGTACGTGACAGTCAATTAGGTGTCAATATCCACCTACAGAATCTTGTATTTTCAAGTAATGGCCTCACGTTATTGGGCAAAAACTTAGACGCGCTTTGCAATTATTAGGTCCAAGTACCAGTACATTAGATACATGTATGTAGGCAGCTTCCATTTTAATAGCTAGAAGCACGGACCATATTTCGGTCCCGCTATTTTTATGTACCTTATATATTAGTATGTACATATGTAATGTACATAACATTGACTGGAACCCATTCATCTAGCGCGCGCATTTAGCTTTGCAATACAGTACAAAAGACATACCCTACCTAATGAGGTACCTACCTCTTTCAACTCGCCATTTCTTATTGATACTATGTCCGTCCTCAAGTGCTAGAAAGACATGATGGATTAACCCACAGGATAGAGATAATATGATTAATCCAAAGAATTCCCGGAATTCCGCAATATAATTGATTGACTGTTGATTGGATATGCCCTTGTGAAGAGTAACCTACAATGTCTTTCTGGCACTTGAGGATATAATGAGAATTATATAACTGGTAAGAAAACCTTGTTTATCCTATGGCCAAGTACTTTAGACCGAATAGGGAAATGCATTGCTTGCTTTGGTATTTGGTAGTCAGCTTACATTTCACAACTCTAAACGCGACATCACATGTCCATATGTTTACTAATAGTACGTCAAAATCGATATTATAATGAACAGCAAAGAGTTTCTAATCTCGCAGCGATGCTGTATATATCTAGGTTTGAGTATAGCTACTTACATAAGTAGACTTATAACATTTTTAAGAGATCAGGTACATCTTTGGATTTGCGAAGTTCTTAGGTACTTTAAAGCTATTTTATACAACTCTTACTTCACGGAAATTCCGCTCCAAAAATCATTAATGACAGCGAACTAAGTTAATTGGCTTAATTGAATGATATAACGCCTTGGCGTTCAAGTATATAGTTTAAAGAAGAAGGAAAAGGGGGTACGTGGGTTGCTCATATCGTCAAAAGTTGAATATTATACAGGCTATATATTAGCGACAATCCAACATCTCATAGCTTCGCCTTTGTCTGTGATTTAGCTAGGATAGGCTGTAGCTTAGTCGCTTTCATCACGTCGCCCTTAATCTTTAACTTTCCGGACATGAACAATCGTTGCGCATTGGCCTGACCGGCTACGAGCTTGCCGAAGTCTTCGTCCGAAAGCGATAGAGTAACTAAGTATCGCGGTGAATTAGTATTTAGTTCCACGCGAGTAGACTCTATAAGTGAATTATGGCGGAATGTTACCTGTTGGTTTCTCGCCTAGACCCTTAGCGACGGTACCCTTCTCTTTAAGGTCAATATGCCAACTCTCGGTCTCGCCAGCTTTGTTCTTTATGTTAAAGGCGAAGATGGCGTTGCCTTGCTTGATAGCATCTTTTCGGTCGGCTTCGCTTTGTAAAGCCTCGTTGATAGCTTCGAAGGCTACCGAGGAAGGAAACTTGTCTACGGGGAGAGGATTAGTCTTCTATAAAAATAGTTGGGGGAAGCGCGACGGCTGGTGTTATATCGGCATACCATTCTTTAGACCCATTTTTGCGAGAAGAGTTAAATTGAAAATTGATGCGATTGGGAGAGATAGGTTATAAAAGATGCTTGGTAGGTGAGCACGCTAGATAGAAGTTATAGAGAAAGTTGAGTATTTCGGAGATTGAGGAAGCTTCAGCAAAGTTACATAATGTAAGGTTGATGACGCTGTTGCTCGGTTGTTGCACGTGTCAATTGAACCTCGGCCGTTCCTTTAATTGTTCATGTGCTGCCAGGGGAGTGATTCATTTAGATAAGCAAGACCTAGATAAGCAAGACCGATCAACAATCAACTAATTTCAAGTTGTCAGCCACAAAGACGTCATGTAATCACATCCATGATCCATGGAATGTAAGCTCCCGTCGTCTGAAACCACCAGCCTCATCTCCCTAGCCACTTCGTTCATCAGCGAGTAATTTGAAGTTCTTACATCTTACATCTTACATATTATGTACATCTAAGTCAATTTACATGCAAGTCAATTCTTCGCGTGGTAGCTCGATACGATCAGGTACCTAACCTATTCACTTAAGTAAATCCCAACATTCTGGCTCAGGGCCGACCTAGATTCACATGTTGCATGACGGTGCGTTCCGCGGGCTTACGGGCTTGCCATATCGAGACCTGATAGACTTGATTCTGTCAGCCGTCTGCACTTAAAAGTGCTGTCGATCCAATAGAAAGTCTTGTTGTGTACCAAGCGATGCTCCCGTGGGGAACCCCTGACATGTCGAAAATCCCCCATCATCTGATCTCTTCTTATCCTCGTTCTATCTTGTGTATTACTTATTTCCGGCGTTACCCGCCGTCTTACTGGTTTGGTATTCATACATTAGGTACACAGGCACCAATGCACCAATGCACCTATATCAATCGAGTAACCGATCGAACATTGCCAAGAAGGTGTGTGTTGTCATCAAGGTCCAGACACTATGGAGGGAATTCCCTACCCGAGATCTCTTGTCTTCCTATCTTCGTATGAGAATCTCGAGTCGTACAGAGGTTGTCGTCCCTTTTAACGAACTCGGGAACAAGGGATTTATGGGATTTGAACCTTTTGTCCTGGAGTGTTACAGTGGCATAGCATGACATATAAGAAAGACAAGTATCGCGGATATTTCGTCAGCATGACTGCTTAGCGAAGCTTTTGGCATCGAGAAATCGTACTGTTTCTGGTCGCCGAACTACCGATGGCTGGTCTCCTCGCCGACTAGCTGTCAATATTACTTCTACCCCTACCGCAGGCTAGTTAGATTCAATTTCTTTGGTTTCTCTTTAAAAATTTGTCGTTTTTTTTTTGTTGCTAGCATGTGTCTCGACATCTCGAATGTTTGGGTGACAGTTGCTCGGGGTCTCATCCGGTCACTCGGGATTTGACTGGCAGCAATCCTGGCAGCAAAGACGTCTTCTAATTGGACGGTAGGGAATTGCGGAGATCCTGATACTTCTTAATTGTACGATATCGCTGGAACCAAGTTCGACAGCCAACGTACATCCCTTGTATCAAGCATCCGGGGACTATCCTATCGACAAAGTTACCCAGCTTGGCTAAACCATACATTTGAATCGTTACAATGCGTCGTATGATGGCAGATTCGAGAATTAGATAACCTGAGTAGACTATCCCTTCTGTTATCGGACCAGAGTGGATAATATACCCCCTTCTACCTCCGCATCTGCGCCGCTGGGCTGCCTTTCCCAGCCTCGCCACCGTAAAGAAGTCCAAAACCCGTTTTGAATATGCAAGGCTCGGAACCCGTGGGCAAGGTCTCAAGCTAAAGACTTAGGCGTACAAATTCCGACTCAGCACGCCGAAGGATGGAGACTGTTAGACGAGCGCAGGGGTGCTGGACCTGCAAACGTAAGTTCTCGAGTATAACATCAGCATTCGCGACACTTACTAACCATTTCGGAAGGACGTAAGATCGGATGTGACCGCGGCTATCCAGCCTGTAACAACTGCCTTCGCACCGGGAGAGAATGTTTAGGCTACGGCATCCGTCTCGCGTGGCCAGATCAGCCCGACGGTAGACGCAGACTAACTCGCCTTCCGGACCACACGATCCACCCTCACGAAATTGATCCGAAGTATTATGGAAAACAGTTTCTGAATGTGACTTACTCAGACTTAGCTCTTTCTAGGAAAGGTATATCGCCTATTTGCCTGTCGATCATTCGTGCTCAGCCGCGGCCAGGACGATGCCTCCCTTTATTCACAAATCTTCATGAGAGGGAGTCTCATCTTATTAACTACTGTAAGAGCGGGCCCATGACATCTTAGATGAGTTCCACTTCAAAAGCTTACTGATGTTTACTATATCAGATCAGTGTAAGTTGTCTCAGATGATATCCACAATTGACATCAACAATGGATTCCGCGACGATTTGCTACCTATGGCACTCTCAAACATTGGCAATGCCTCCAACGGTCTTCGAAATGCCATGCTCGCTGTATCCGCTTTTCACCTCTGGGGTTCGGAAGAAGCTCTCTCCTACAAAGCCGATGCCCTTCGATCCTTATCTTCCTCCCTATCGAGCGAGTCTATTGGTATAACCGAGACGCAGCTGGCTACGTCAATGATGCTCTGTGTTTACAATGTGGGGACCTATTTAATCATTTTCCATATACAATAATGCTAATCTGAGATAAGGTCTTCGACGAGACCGAAGGCAACTGGAACCTACACCTCCGCGGAGCCCAAACTATTCTTCAGAAGCTCGCCAGTATCCACGGTGGGCAGTTAAAGTACGGCTTCTTATACACGTGGTTCCTTTACCATGAAATTTTGGGTGGTTTCAGCCAACCACTCCAGTACGGGAGATGTCCGGCATCTCTGCAGCTTCTATATGACACGGACTTTGATAAATCTTTGGTATTTTCCCCCGCAGACTTACTAATCGAAGATAATTGCCACTGACAGCCCATAGATCATAGGATCGCTCGGATGTTCCGTAGAGGTCATGGAAATAATTAGCTACGTGAATGGGCTGCGTGCTATCGAGCTTCGGGGCGCGTCCCTGGATTTCAGCCCGGAAGAACGTGCTCGGAGGGCCGACGAATGGCGTGAAATCGAGAGCCGAATAACGAGCCTTGAACAGCATCTAGATCCCTTAGATGCTAGACATATACCACCGGTAGAGAGGAGTCGAATCCTAACGACCGCCGAGCTTTATCGTATCGCGGCCTTGCTCTACTTACAAAGAACAGCCGAATGTACACATAACCAAGAGCTTAGGTCAATGTACCTAGAGTACGCGTTTGCTGCATTAAAGCGCCTCGATGTCTGCACGAGCCCATGGCCGCTTTTTGTCATCGCTTGCGAGACTGAAGATGATCAACAGAGAATAAGGATTCTCCAGACACTTGATAAAATGGACAACGAACGGCACATTGGAAATGTGTTCGTTCTACGTGATATAATCGAGTCATACTGGAAACAGCAGGATCTCCAGGCCGATAGCGGCCGCGTCTCTAACACCAAATGGTGGAACGTTGTCAACTTAGATATCGCTGCACCTTGGTGTATTTGAAAACGACTTCATCGGCCACGCTCCTCCCCATCGCCGCCACGTCATCATCATTATCATCGCCACTACCATTATACCCCCTATAATTAATTTCTCACAACCCATCTTGGCGACCTATTTGGGGCCGCCCCTACTTAGACATCTTCGTCACATGTAAGTCTTGAGTGGGATTTACCAGCAAGCTTAGCAAGTCCGGCCTGGCGTAATGACCGACGACATCGATGAATGCCTTGGGATAATCGATATCCCGCAAATTAATATCCGCCTTGAGGATACCCTCTTCTCCAGCGCCGATGGGTTCGCAGAGCGGCTTGCCGTCGGGTCCAAAAATCATGGAAAAGCCACCGCCGGGCTGGAAGGGAGTTATGTTAGTAGTTTGTGGAGTAAACGGAAAGCGAGGGTCTTACCGTCTTGGTTACTGGGTTGCCGGAAAGGTTGTTTTTTTCCAGGTTCTTCTCGGTTAGGATTTGTGATGCGACGAGGACGAAGCACTGCCCCTCTATAGCCATGAACTGGCTCGCTCGGTAGCTTGCCTCTCCCGTCTCATGATATAGCCAAGCAATTTTGGAGGGATCTGGCATTTCAAATTCTGCAGGCCAACTTGATATTCAAATCAGCAGGTGGTTTTTTTTTTTTTTTTTTTATAGGGATGAAAGTCAAAGGAAGTTTAAGACTAACCTTGCAACATGTATTTGAACCCCTTGCGAATATTCGTAGTAACGAAGCAAAGGTTGTAAGTGCTCCCAGCAATTCAAGCCACCGATATTACCAAACTTTGATGGCACCACACACTTCAGCGATTCGGCTTGGCCTTCACCCCAGATAGTTCGCTCTATGTGTGTGGGCTTTATCTTCCGTCGGTGGTGGACTATTTCACCTTCCGGCGAAATAAAGGATTGGGCCATGTAGAGACTACCGCCCTCCCTCTCGCTATATCCAAGAACCACAAACATCCCCGCCTTCTTTATCGCGGAAAGGATACGTCTCATATGGTCTGAGTCTCGGGGCATCGAGTTCGCCATGTATTCGTGGATGATATGGGTGTTTTCGATGACACTCGAAGTCCACATGGACCTAGGTCGAGGCAAACAAGTCGACGTTAGTGTTCCAGTCCCTCGGAAATTCTTGACGGAACTTACCACGGGTATCCAGGAATCCACACCTCGGGAAATCCAAGCACCTGGACGCCATCTGCAGCAGCCTCCTCGATGAGGGAGATGGTCTTGTCGACGGCCCCATTAAGGTCGAGCCATACCGGCTCAGCCTGGACGGCACCGACGCGAATAGTAGTGGACATTATCGACCTGAAGAGTATAGCTTAGGTGGAAGTTTTGGAGACGATGGAGAGGAGCTCAACGTCCAAGCAAGCTATTGACGATCATATGCTTGGACTTTATATACTGTCGTGTATCTCGTCTGCAGAAACGTCTCACTGCAGTGCGGGGAGATACGGTGTCTGCAGTCAGCAATCAAACCCCAGAAACAGCTCAGTTCATGCTGGAATCCCGAATCCCTACGGCTCTATTGCTACCTCATGGTCCTATTCTGGACACCTATGGCCGCGTCACGTAACAAGCCGGGTCCGATCATTGGCTATATTGGAGCTTTCAGCGTTTTGTGGCTTGGCGGACCTCCCGACACTCGTGCATCTTATGCCGCAGGTCCACGACCTCATTGCCTCGCACTGCATCTCCAGCTTGCAGCCGGTGGGTAACCCCTCAGTGCCGTAGCATTCTGTATTCCGTTATACTGCTTTATAAGTTCTGCCACACGGCGCAGTCGTAGCAAATACCTATTCAAACACCTCTATTAAGTCGGCCCTTATAAGAGTCCTTATAAGAGTCCTATTATAAACTCGAGTGAATCCTTCGTCGATACACGACCGTGAGATATTCACCCTTCTTTGTATCGGCGATCGCAGAGTCCTTCCAAGCTTCTTCTACGATCAACTAGCGGCTCTTCAAACCTAGCTTCCGCGTGGGTCCCTCGTCCAGAACCGGGAAAGCCTCGATGCCAATGCGGCACGAAAACGGGAATGGGCGCTCGAGCCTTGACCAACATTTGGCTCAACTGAGTTTAGTCTACAGACGGGACGATTTTCATTCTCTTAGCAACGTCCTACTACTTCTTACCGGTAATATCCTGCGATCATTAGGATGTTTAATACACCAGATGAAACTTGATAATATTTTGATCTTTCTTGAATAATATAATATATACTTTGTCTTCAACACTCGCGTAATAAGCACTAAGACCTGTCATTATGTTAGATTTGGGGCTCCCGATTCCTCTGACGGCATACCCATGGTTCTGGAATACGCGTGTGCAACCTAAGGCACACGCGGTGGTAATATGGAATATGTAGCTCGAGTTATCCGGACCAGAAATGCCGCCGCGTCCCTAATCTATCGCTGTCATCATCTGCAAACCGGGGCACAGTTCCCGCCTAGGTACTTCCAACCGGGCGATAGATTCCTGACAACGTGCCCACGATCGGGATTTAACAAGGTTCTGACAGGACCCTAGCTTGGCTGGGCCGGGTTTTGGTCTTGGACTGAGCTGTAGGTTAATAATACATAATACGTGGGAATAACTTACCTACTACCTAGACGGCGTTCACGCGGCGGTAAGCTCGGGGAGACGGGGATAATATGAATGGGGGGAGGGAAGCTGGAAAATGGGGATTGGGAAATATTATGGATTTATATACCTACCTAACATATATGTATGCCACATCAATATTTCCTTTATACATCTAGACCTACAGGACGATAAAGCCTCGTCCTACCGTCGGCGGACGCAGTGTTACATTAGGTGCTTTGCGTTTTTTCTGCAGCCGAGGCGGGAACAAAAGGAGCGGTGAATATCGAGTCATATCTGAGAGAGGACACAACGGTTTTCTGTGAAACCACCTCCGGCCAGGCCAATGATAAAGCTGGCCGGGGGCTGGGATGTATGATTGGCGCTGCTGGTGTTGCTGCTGCAGGACAGGCTGCCGGTTTGGGGTTTGGGACCTGGGAGATACCTAACCTAGGCTGGTAGCTTATTACGTGGGCTTGTTGGAGCAAGGTCCAACGGTTCAGAGATAACAAACAGACTTGCGAGCTTAACTACCCGGTAAGGTGGCTTGCTGGGGTTCCAAAGCTAGCTAGCATTGAAGCTATTACTACTATTACTACTACGTAGGTACTTCATACGGATCCGTGTTGGTTGGTTGGTTGGTTGGTTGGCTGGTTGGTTGGCTGTTAGCTTCTGTGTAAGTGTAGGTAATAACCCATGTGTACCTCCTAATGTAATATGAGATAATGTCGATAATCTAAATAATAAATAAGAACTATACTTAAAGGACGTATGTACTTATATCCCTCGCCCTTAAGTCCGTGCCGACTTCCAATGATTCCTATCTTCGCTTAACTCGTCGCAGAGAACGTCGCACGACGATTGATAGATACCTCGACTCGACTATGTCTATCCAAAACGAGTCCGTGCCTCCCGGGGAGGGCCGCCTGCAGCCACGGTTATCGAGGTTGACGATGGTCGCTTTGACGTTCGCTATCCTTAAGTGAGTCAGTCTAATACCCAGTGTCCTAAGACAACAACACAAGCGACTGGTGACTAACCGTAGCGCTCGCTATATAACAACAGTACATGGATCGCGCTAGCTGGATCAATTGGCCTCGTTCTGCCCTCGGGAGGCTCCGTCTCGTTCCTCTACGGCTTCATCTTCTGCGTCCTGTGTAACCTCGCCCTCGCCGCGAGCCTCGGCGAACTAGCTGCGATATGGCCCACGGCGGGCGGCCAGTACCATTTCGTGTATGCGCTGTGCACGGATAAGTGGAGGAAGTCTATGGTGGGTTACTTCGGACTCTGGGGACACAATGGGAAAGAAAAATACCTAAGGAAGGGGAGGGGCTGACTTGTGCGCATAACTAGAGCTTCTGGGTTGGCTGGACGAATATCGCGGGCTGGCTTACGCTTGTGACGACTGAGGGTTTCTTTGCTGGTGAGATTTCTCTTTGTTAATTCCTTTCTATGCGGTGCTATAGTAGTATGCGTATACTACCTAGAAAGCAATACGAGAAGTTGACATGATATCATATTCTCCCGCACGCAGCGCAATTCATCTCCGCCGCCGCAGTCATCGCCTCCAACGGCGCCTACGCAATCGCAGAATGGCGCACATACCTAATCTTCCTCGCGATCCTAACCTTCACGACCGGCGCCAACATCCGGGGCAACCGAATCCTCGGGCGCTGGAACGACGCGGCGCTGTACTGGTCCCTGCTGGGCGTAGTCGTTATTAGTATAGTCCTGCTAGCCACCTCGGACAAGAACGACGCCGGGTTCGTCTTCGCCGAGTTCCGGAACGAGACGGGCTGGCCGGACGGCATGGCGTGGATCCTGGGCCTGCTGCAGAGCGCGCTGTCGCTCATCGGCTTCGACGCCGCGCTGCATATGACGGAGGAGATGCCGCGGCCGGCGGTCGATGCGCCGCGCGCCATTATATATGCGGTTGTGGTGGGGGGCGTGACGGGTGTTGCGTTTATACTTGTTATTCTGTTCTGCATTACGGATCCGGATGCGGTTCTTAACACGCCGACTAATATGCCCATCGCCGAGTTGATCCTCCAGGGTACGGGGAGTCGAGCCGCGGCTACGGTGTTGACGCTGATGCTGGCTGTGTGCTTTGTTAACGGGACGAATGGATGTGTGACTAGTTCGAGTAGGCTGTTGTATGCTATGGCGAGGGATAAGGGTATTGCATATCCTAACTAGTAAGCCTCCCCCTTTCCTCCCATTCCACTTTCTCTTTCTTGTCCCTCTCTCGACTAACATCCCCAGCTTCGCACACATAACGCCCAAGCTCGACGTCCCAGTCCGCACCATCGTCTTGACCTTCGCATTCAACGTACTCTTCGGGCTACTATACCTAGGACCATCGGTAGCTTTCAGCGCATACGCGGCCAGCACAACCATCTTCCTCAACGTGTCGTACGTGATCCCCGTCGTCGTGTTATTAATCCGCGGCCGCGGCGTTTTGCGCCAGTACCAGGCTGAGAACACGTACTTTGCGCTCGGCAAGGGCGGCTGGGCGCTTAATGCCGTTGCTGCTGTGTTTGTTATCGTGACTTCTGTGGTATGTGTACCTAATTTGCCTCTATCACCCGTTGGTTTAAAGGGGTGTGATGTGGAAAATGAGTAATTGCTGAATTGCTGACTGGTGTTGTTAGTTCTTCTGCTTCCCGACTGGACTTCCCGTTTCAGCAGATGAGATGAGTAGGTAGTCCCTTTACTCCCGTCCATAAAATCTAGACCATAAGAGCCAGATCTTACTAACGGCAAACAAACAGACTACGTAGTCGTCGTGATCGGCATCTTCCTGATATTAGTCGGCACGTACTGGGTCACATATGGCAAAACCTTCGAGGGCCCGGTAATTTTCTCTTTCCTTCTCCCCTCCTGCTTATTTCCTCATATCCCCCCGGAGAAGGGTTCGCATGAACTAACACCGACTTCTGTAGACATTCGAAGCCATCATCGGACATGCGCCCGGAGACGAGGAAGATGCAGGAGCAGCAGCTTCCATCCCTCCTTCAGAGAAAGAAAAATAACCGTCTAATAGCCAGGACGAGAAAGAGGTTACCTCCTAGAATGGAGATATGCATTATTAAGATACCCGCGTATTGATTTCTTCCGAGTCACTAGGCCAAGATACAAAGCATTTATATACATCCTGTCGTTCATCCCGGAAACTATAGTATTCAAGGCGTTCACAGTTTGGTTATAAAATTTACTAACAGGTAGATAGATGGAGTTTTAAAACTCAGACAAGATCATGAAAGACACTTATTTTGACACATTATAGATTCAAGGGGAATGGGGGTTTGAAACGACATCCCTCCTTAGCCGTCTTTTTATAGGTATATATTCATTCATCGCGTCCATAGTATTTTAGGTAGTTGAACTATACCAAGTAACTAAATAAACTTACTTTACTCGCTTGCCAACACCAAGTAGGCCTTGCTCAATCTCGCTACGCGACAGCCAAAACCCAAGCAATAATCATAACTTAAACAATATATTCATTCGTGATGGGGTATTTACATGATATAGCATATCTACTCTTAACAAAGCTCTCAACATGCCTTAATCCGTCCAGGATTAGGCGTTATTTCATAACCGATCCGCAACCTATACATGCAATGAATTTTCTCTCGCGGGCCGAGACGAAGCTCTCCGTAAATGTCAGACCTGTGACTGGCCAGGTCGGGTATGTAAAAACGCCGGGTAATGCGATGATGATTATTGAATCCCTCGCCATGTCCGTCCTACATTGTTCTTGTCCTGCCCGAGTCGTATTTGAACGTACTCGCCATTCTAAAAGATGAATCTTGGAAGAAGAAAAATTGGTTGAGGATCATAGCAACCTCGATTGGTCGTCGAAGAACCTGCTCTAACTTGATGTAGAGCGTTGACGCCGTCGGGAACGTTCGTATCGCTTACATCCAGTGAAGGGACGACAGCATATGGGGACCCTAGTTTATTGGCAGGCGGAATTTGACAACCTTAGGAAAGACTGAGTTCCAAGAAGTAATCGGCGGGCCGAAAGACTAGCCTGTCTAAAGCTAAATAAAAATTTGTTAAATATTGAC